TTATGAGTTTTGTTACACAACTTTTACCTTCCCTTTCTTCCGTTACCATTGTTAACCAAGAAACTGACCTACATCTTGACCAGTCCAAATCTCAACCTCATTTTGCATTCATATCATAACATTTCCTATTATTAATAATTTATCAAATTACATTGTTGATGATTCAATTTCATCTCAACTTTAGAAGAAAAAGAAAAGGAAAAAGAAACAAACAAAAGTCCATCTCATTTTCATCCTAATATCCATCTTGAATGCTGAACAAAATGCAGGTAATGCATTTTATCTCTACAATATTACATAAAGTGCTTTTTAAGATTATGGTCAGCCTCTTAAAAAACATAATAATAATGCAATAACATTTTATGCAATATTATATTGGCGCAAACAATTAGTTTTAATTGCGTTTAACCTATTAAATTAGTGTTACAAAAAGGTAAAAAAGACAACAAGAAGAAAAAAGTTTTCTCTGTTTTTTACCTTTTCCAACCTTTTTATAACTTACAACTTGTGTTATCTCAATAATCATGATTCTCACAACGAAGTAAAAAAGCGGCTGTAAAAAAATGTTGATAATAAACCTAATAGAAGTACATACATTTTTATAATCAATCTACATCCTTTCACCTTTTACCTTAACCTTTACCTGTTCATCTATCGGTTACAAGGAAGTGTTAAGGGAAAATAAAAAAAAAGAGTAAAAAGAAGAAGAAGGAAAAAAACAGTTCAAAGTGTGACAGGATTTAAAGGTAGACACCAGAGAGGTTAGAGTTGAAACTCTGGTAAAAAATGCTTTGCCTCTTTCAGGTTGAAGAGCAATGGAAGTAACAAAAAATATCAAGAAAATGAACAGGTAAAGGTTTTTGCTTTTTTTTCTTGTTCACTCTTTTATCATAAACTTTTCATTGTCATCATCTTATAGGTTTTACTCCTTGAAAACCGCTTTCCAGACAAACAAATGTCTTTCTTCATTTTTTACTCTTTCTTTTTACTCTTTCTTTCCACTTCTTCCACTCTTTGACAAACACACTCTTCACTCTCACTCTCGTAATCCACCTTATTGTACCTCTCTTTTCATCTCCTTTATTCACCTTCATCTTCTCATCTTTCGTCTTCCTTCCTCATTCTTTATTGCATAGACAGTGGTATTCATCATCTTCGTCTTTGTACAACTTGTTTTGCTTTTCTTCTTCTTCTTCTTCATCAGTCGACCTTTACAAGGTAAACTTTTCTTTCCTTTTCTTACCTTTGAACAGGTAAGAAGGGAAGCCAAACAGTCTCAATATGATGATTATTAGAATGATGATAAAGTGAAGGAATCATCTTAATTCCCTTTCTTCATTGCGCTCACTCTTCATTGTGTCAATATCATCGTCGCATTACAATGAAATGAAAAGAAGTAAAAAAGATGAGGAACAAGAAGATGAACAAAAAAAACTGTCAACTTTATTCAAATCTTAAGAAGCTTCTTCTTTACCTTTCCGTATTATATTCATCATCTTTCACCGTCTTCATCTTTAAACCATCTGAAGATGCGTCAGTTAACGCATATTGCGTCAAATTGGCCTTTCAACACAAACTTGATAACACTTTACATAAAAGTACGAACTAAAACATGGCCAAACAATTCACGTTTTTTTCATCCTTTTTTATCCTTTTTCATCCTTTTCTTTTCTTTTCATCTCCATTCTCTTATCATTTTTTCTGTAACCAAAGATGTAAACAGCTTCTCTTCTTACCTTCAAAAATGTCTTATTATTTTTTGTTTTTTACCTTCTTTTCACCATCAACAGGTTATAAAGTAAACTTTTACCTTAAAAAAAACTTTTGTTACTGACCTTTAGCTTGAAAAAATGTTATGATTGATCTAAACCTGAAGAGAAGGCAAAGTTATTTGAAATATTTTCTTGCATTTTGTTTTCTTTCTGGTATTTGCGTTCAAATTGACGATCAAATTGCACCAATTCAATTTGATTGCAATTATTTTTCAACTGTTTCCAATTTCTGGTACAAACTGGCCATTGGTCAAATGGTGGAAGCAATTGGTAAACGATCATCTCTTGAAGTCGCTTTTTGGGCTTAACCAAATTAATGGTATCAAGTCGGGTATCAAAATGTACTCACAGAATGACCTTTTGATGATTTTCTTGCTCAATCACGATTATTCATTTCTCAAGGAACAAGGAGTGACATCACTCAAGTTGATCATCTTTTCATCATCATCCTGATGGAGGTTGATGTTGTTTACTTTTCTCGTTGCACTCTCTTCCGTGAGATGATGACGATCTTTTTTTTACCTTTACCTTTCACTGTTGAGTTCAATTGAAAGTTCAAAGTGGATGATGATAAAGTCAAAAGGCATTTTATTTTTGGTTCCCAATTTTTTTCTTCTTCTTACCTTTAACTTTGCCCTCTCTCATCAGGTAAGCTAAGTTAACTGAAGACTTGAAATGATTAGTTGTTTTGTTTACTCGTTATGTAACAACAAGGGCTTTAAAACATTCATCTATTCAGGCCGAAGCAAAGCGCAGATTAATTATGGGCTTAAGTTATGAGAGAAAAAAGAAAGAAGGAAAAGAAAGCAAGAGAGTAAAGGTTACTGGTCATCGTCTGGGCTTCAGGTCAACGGACTTTACGTCAAAGAGTGACCAGTAATTTGTGTAAACAGGGTAATACAAGATTGAATAAGAGCTAAAAAAAGGTAAAAAAAGAGAGGCAAAAGTCAGGTTAGCAGCCTATGACGATGATGATTATGATGATGATGGAAAAATAGCCAAAATGCAGAACTGGTCAAGAATAGGAAAGGTAAAAGGTAGAAGGTTGAAGGTCAAAAACTTTTGAAAAAACTGTAGACAGGTTAAGAAGAGGAAAAAATTGAGAAATGTGAGATGATTAGAGAAGCAAGAAATGGAGCAACAGCTAAAAAATAAGATGAGGATGAGAGAAGAGAAGAGGTCAACGAGACGAGACAAGATGAAGTTTGAAGATACGGAACACATCTTGAAACGTCTTCTTCTTTTTTATGTATAAAAAAAGAGAATGAAAAAAACAAGGTAAAAAGTAAGGAATGAGAACAGGTTGGCGAAAATGTTACTCAAATTGTTGTGTTGTTGTTGTTTGTTGTTGTTTTCAGTTAAGGTCGACGAACTCATCATACCTTTTCTTTCCCGTCTTTTGGATCTTTTTTTTTCTTCTTCTTACCATCAAAAATTACCTGTAAAACGAAATGAACGCAAAGACGCATAACAAGAGTAACATGCAAGTGTAAACCTTAGAGAAGCAAGGGAAAAGGTACAAGAAAAAGTCTATTTTCAGTGAAAATGTTGTTTTTGCTGTTCTGGTTGCAGCTCTTGTTGTTGTATCTCTTATAATTATAGCTGATCTAGGATATTCACAATCTGTTGATTAGTTGATTGATAAAATAAAATAACAGTAAACTTAATTGACTTGGACTTGATTCCCGATAGAATGCTGTTATACCTGTCAGCAAATATCTTTTAAATGATAGCAATTGAAACAGTATTCTTGGAACCAATGAAAATCCGGAAAATTTGAAAAGAAACATTTCGCTGGTTTAACACTTGATAATTTAAAAATGATATTAGCACAAAATCAATTTAATCAAGTTTAATCATCAATACAGCTGTCTGCTTGTTTAATCAATCACCTTGTCACATTTATAATGAAAATGAACCAAGAACACTTTGAACACATTAAGAAAGTTGAATGAATCAATTTGAATAAAATAATCAACTTTAAAAAAGGTTAAACAATATGAAAAGACAATATTAACTTGAGAGTTTTTATAAATTCAAAAAGTTGGATTTGATAAGCTTGAAAGTGTTTTCAATCAGAGCTTAATTTCAGTGTATTTAACTCTGAATCAAGCAATCGATGAAATAACTTGATGATGCCATTTGAATATCTTGAAATGGATAAAACAAACTCAATCTGAATGTTAGCTTTACATGTAAACAGAAGATGATAATAATAGTTTCACCTCTTTATTGGATAAATTTTACAACCAATAGTAACCCTTTACTTTCCCTTTCATTTATTCATTTCATACTTCCCTTTATAGTAACCATTTCCACCCCTTTATTTTATTGCAAGTTAAACCCTTTACTATTATTTCATTCAACTTTTTATCCCTCCTTCTCATCTTCATCTTCATCCTCCTACTTTTAGCTACTTTTCACTCTTTCACTCTTTCTCTCCTTTACTCTTCCACTCTCTCTTCTCTCTCTCACTCACACTTACTATAAAAATCCTTTCCTTACTCCTTCCTCATCATCCTCTTCATCTGTTCATCATCTCTTCTCACATTACCTTTAACATGATTTAAATGGTTCTCTTTATAAACTCTTTTTTTAAACTTGTTCCTCTTGTTAACTCCTTATCACTCCTCCTTCCTTTCACTTTTCAAAGTCAATCCTTTTTTTGTATGTCTTTATGCTAACACGATAATACAGTTATAATCAGGAATAACATTAACACAAAAGGGATAACCGGAAACTTAAATGTGTGTTAAATCCAGTGGTAAAAGGGTAGATGATTATGTTAAATTATATGTTAACTGTTATAACCAAAATTCAATTGAAAAGTCACTTTGATATACACATTGAACAAAAAAAAAGATACAAAATGACAAAATGTTAAAAACCAAGCATAATCTGGTTGTCAAAATGAAACATCAACAAAAATACATAAAAATATATCAAATAAAAGTGTGAAGCTGGTTAATGTTTCTGTCATTTGATTGACCAAAAACAAAAGAATCCAAATTGAAAAGCCAAAAAATGTAACACTTAATGATGTAGCCAACAATTTTGGTTAAACAAAGGAAAAAAGAGTTGAGAAATAAATTGGTTAAGTGACTAATAAATGTTGGTTAAATTAAAAGCGAAAGAGACAAAGACACTGAAATAATGTTGCTTAATGTGGACAAAATGTTTCTTATCTTTTTTAATGAGTCAAAATGTCTAGTCAATATGGCGACAAAGACTGACTTATTTTCACCTTTTACATCACTTTTTACCAGTTTAATCCAACCAATCGTGTTAACCAAAAAAACTGATCATTTTCTGGTTTCCTTTGTTTCTCATTTACCCTTTTGTTTTCTTTGCTGTTGCACCGAGTTTTTTGTCAAGTCTTTCATATCATTTTGATGTTCAACTTTATTCGTTTCATTTAACTGTTTACCCTTTTCATGATTGTGAATTAATGTTCATTTGTGTTTCCTGTTATCATTTTTTGTGCTCATCTCAGTCAATTTTATCAATATCAAGCAACAACCAGCCATCATCATCAACATAACTTTTGTTTTCTTTCCTCTTCTCCATCTTTATTCATCCCTTCAATACTCGTTTTTTACTTTCTCCTCTTTTTTTCTCTTTTTTTGCTCAACCTTTTCTTCCTCTTTCATTGCTCATCCTTGTTTCTATCTCTTTCATCCTCTCTTTCTTTCTCCACCTCCATTTCCCTATAATCCCTTGATTCCATCTTCCCTTTTCACATCATTTTGATGAAAAAAGTTTAGAAATAAAAAAAGGTTTCTATCCTTTTTTTTCCTCCTGTCTTCCTTTTTTTCCTCTTTCTTTTTTTACCATGCTCTTTTACCAGGTCATCTCTTCCATTTTCATCCTTCATCTCCATTTTATCTTCATCTTTATTCTCTCTGACCATCACACAATCTACCATCAATGATAACATTATGTTTCAATGAAGCGCTACTTTCAAGTAAGGATTCAGTGTTATTCAATACAGTATATTACCTATTTGTCTACAATCATTACCGATGGATGATGATAATGATTAAACTTGCAAATGATTATCTGAGAATATTAGTGTCTCTGTATGCGTGTAAATTAAATTATGGTGAGAGTTAAAGAGGATGATAATAATTGTCAGTGTTCATGTCATATTTATATCATTCAATATGACTGATCACAAGTCTCAATGATATAAGGACTGGTCAAAGAAGCAACCAAAAAAAAGAAGAGAAAGAGAGACTGGACAAAAGCAAATCAGGTTAAATGATTCCCTTTTTTTATTGATTATTATCTACTGATGTGCAAGTCAAACATCTCAACATAACTATCATTTCACTCTCTTGCTCTTATAGCTTAAATCAACAGTTGAAAGTACAAAAAAAGCAGAGAGGTAAAGATCTGCGAAAGATGAATATGAAGATGATGATGAAGCAAATATATATACGTATATAAATATATGGATATTTCATATTTGAAATGAAAAGCAAATTAAGTCAAAAAAAGAAAACCTTTTTTGGTTCTTTTTTTAACATTTTTTACAACCGAATTTTGTTTTTTTTTTGAAAACTGATATTCAATTGGTTCCTATTTGCATCCCAGTTACCCCATTTCAATCTTACATCTGATTTCCTCTCAACCTTCACCTCCTCCTCTCATTCTTCTCCTTTTTCCACTATTCCTTCACATTCAACTTGCATCATCATCATCCTCATCCTTCATCTTCATCTCCATCCTCGTCCATTTAGTCCTTTTCACTTTCTTTTCACTGTTACATCGCACATTGCCTAAAGCTTTTCCTCTCTTGTTTTTTTTGCCTTTCTCATTAATCTACTCTATCATCCATTCTCCCTGCTTATCTCTGAGTCTCTTCTCTTTCTACTTCTCTTTCTCTTCCTCTCTAACCTTTAGCCAGCGCCCTCTAAATTCACAAGCAAAATTATTGATCCTCATCAGAGTGGAATATATTTTGCTTTATCTTCCCTCCTTCTTCTTGCATTTTCATCCCTCTTTTATATATATTTTTATATATATAATTTTCCTCCCTCTGATTCCCTTGCTTTTTCCCTCTTCTTCCACTTTTTCATCTCTTTCTTTTTCCTATAACTTCATCTAATCCCGCCTAACTTTTCTTCATCCTTACGGTTTCTTCTCTCTCTTCGTTCCCTGTCTATTTCCTCTTGTTTTTTATTTTTTCGGTGTCCTCTCTCTTTCTCTCTCTTTCTCTTTCGATTTTGGGTTTATCTTCTTCTTCTTTTCATCATCATCATCATCTCCTTCTATCGACCAAACTTTTACTAAAGAAAGAGTCAATATTCAGCCATATTCCTCTTTCTCTTCTCTCCATGTTAAAAAAAAGACAGTAATAGTGAGAGAAAGAAAGAGAGTGAGTGTGTATATTATCGAAAGAAAGAGAAGAAGAGAGAGACTAAAAAATACAAGAAAGAAACAAGTAAGTGCATAAAAAAGTAGAAAGAGAAGATGTAAAGAGAGTGAGTGAGAAGTAGAAAGAGTCTGATGCATAGACATAGTCCATTGCAATGGTTGCCTAAACTTGGACCAACATGGAACACTTTTTTTTATCCTTATCCTCGAGCTTTTTCATCAACTCGGGGCCTTTCTTTTTCTCCCAAAATCACTCACTCTCCTCATCTTCATCAGTAACTTCTCTCTCATCGAAATCACTTTTTTAAAAAACTCACTACCTCAATAAATACATTTGTATATATATATTTTTCTTATTTTTTGAGCTCACTTGGACTCTCACATGGTCTCTCTTTCTCTTTCTCTCTCTCTTAAGTAAAAAAAACTCTTCCTTGCTCTCCTGTCTCACTGACTCACTCTTTACTCTCTCCCTTATTCAATTTCTTAAGTTACTAAGTGATTCTCTTTTCAACTTATTCTATTTCTTCTTATTCTTCTTCCCTCTTCCTTGCTCCCTTTTTTTCCTCTCCTTTTTTTCGACTCACTCAGCTCAACACTGCCCATTGCCCATTACCCAGTGACCAGTCAATGGTGATTCTTCAATCGCAAGTTGCGCATCACAGTGATGCCGTTTTCAATAAAATCATCCAGTGCGGATGATTTTTGTCCATCATCACCAACAACAACACCTTTACGCCTTACTACCTCAACTGCATCAAATGTTCACCACCATAATCATCACCACAGTCATCACCGTCATTCGCATCTTCATCATCGAAGTTCTCCACAGGATTATCATGTAGATGATGATACTTACCCACATGGTGATAAATCCTCTGTTTTTAATTGTTCCCCGGGGAAAAGCAAGACAACATCACCGACAACATCTTCTTCATCAAATTCATCAACATCCTCAACCATTGTTGCAACAACAACCGGATTAGACGAAGAAGACGAAGAAACAAATATTGAGATCAAGAAAAAATCAACATCAAGTTCGAAGGCAACATCATCTTCCTTGAAATTAGCATCAAAATCAACACCTTCATCATCTACCTCACATCCCATCCAATCATCAAAAGTACCTTCTCACTCAATTGAAAATCATAATATCAAATCGCCGATATCAAAGAGCAATACAATTAATAATAGCAAAAATCATAATAATGGCCTTGGACGTGAATCTTTATCAAATGAACCTGATGCTGTTGTTGTTGCTAGCCTAGGAATTGGTGATTTAAGTGTCAGTGGAAGTGGAGTTAATAGTAGTAGTAGTAATAATAATAGTAATAATAATTCATTAATACTGGCAGGTAATCGTGATAAACCGTTTCAATGCACAATTTGTCACAAATCCTTTGGTTATAAACATGTTTTACAAAATCATGAACGGACTCACACTGGAGAAAAGCCTTTCCAATGTCGTGAATGTCAAAAAAAGTTTACTCGAGATCATCATCTTAAGACCCATATGAGACTCCATACCGGTGAGAAGCCATATCAATGTGAACATTGTAATAAACTTTTTGTCCAAGTTGCCAACCTTCGTCGACACCTTCGTACTCATACAGGTGAACGTCCTTATGCTTGTGATGCTTGTGAATCCAAGTTTTCTGATTCTAATCAATTGAAAGCTCATAAACTGATACACAAAGGTGAGAAACCATATACATGTGAAAAGTGCCTTGGAAAATTTCGCCGTCGACATCACTTAAATCACCATAAATGTCCAAAAGATGAAGCCAATTTAGGTAAACCAAGAAGAGGTCGAAGACCCAAAGCATATGATCATGGATCTATTGGAGCATCATCACCTTCACCATCGACTGTACATCATCTTTTGGGTTCAAACGCAGCATCTTTATTAACTCCCATTGTAACACCTATGTCAACATCAGTTGTTTCCTCGATCCAGAATATTAATATCAATATAAATAATAATAATAATATAAGTAATAACATCACAAATCTAAATAACGACAAGTCTAACCCCAACATTAATCGACCAGGATCAGTCCATTCAATTTCTGGTTCATTAACGGGAGATGAAACAGCTTCACATGGCTCAGCTCATTCACCGGCTACAGCAACAGTTTCTTCATCACAAGTCTCATCCATATCATCAACAAACGCATCATCCTTCCTTTTCCCGCATCTTCTTAGTGGACCAAGTGGACACCTTAATTTGTTATCTTCAAATAATCGTTCAAATTCAATTCCGCCAGCAGCTCATTCGGGTCAAAGATTATCTAGAGCTGAAATTATAAGTCAACTGCAACAACAGCAGCAACACCAACAAAGAGTACAAGAACGAACTCAAGATCAAACACAGCATCAACAAAATGATGCCTCCTCAAAATCCCGGCGAAAGCCGACACATCCTTTAAAAATAATGTCCAAAGGAGATGAAGATTATTACAATTACGACAACAATTCAATGCAAACTCAACCGCTCAACATGTCTCGGTCACCATCGACATTTCCTATGAACCTTTCTGGACAAATTTCAAATTTAAACAATAACAACAACAACAACAACAATAACAATAATAACAATTACAATCGATCAAAACAAATGTTAGATGATGAAGGCGATGTTCTGGATTTATCTTCACGGTCTCGAAGTGAAGTTGAATCTGAACTTGAAAAAAGCGACGATGAAGAAGACGACGTTCGTGGCATTGATGATCCAGATGATGACACTGACAGGGAATTGATACAGGATGAAGATGATAACGAGGATGAATATGATTCAGACTCTCATCATCATCGTTCTCGCCTGGAATTTCGTTTATCAGCTACGCATGATTTAAATATCCATAAGAATCGTCAAAGAGTAAAAACGCTAAGTGTTTCAAGAGGATCAAATGGAGTGCGTAAAAGGCCTTTCCCTCGAGAACCAATTGTTTCGTTAATTGGTTCAAATACGTCAACATCAGGACAGCCTAATCTACCTCATCACCACTCACAGCATCATCATCGTCACCGTCGTCTTCCTCTTGACATAGTAACTCCACCAAGTGAGACTGCTTCATCATCAACGTACCGATCATTGACTGCAAGTTATAATCTATCTCCATATTTAAAATCAAATGAAAATCTCAATGAAAAGAACTACCTCAAGTTTCATTAATTAACCTATTAATTAACTGCAAAACGACCAACTGCTTTCTACCTCTTTCTACCTCTTTCTTTCTCATCATCAAAATAAATCAAACGGGTAAATGATAAGAAGAAACAAAACAAAACAAAACAAAAAAGCGAAACAAACAAATCAAGTAAAACTAATATTGTACAAGCTTATTGAGAGAAACACAAATTATGATTTAAATTACTACAAAAAACAAAACAAATCTAAAAACGGTAATTTTTTATTATAAAGATAAAATTTAACTAAAATTATAATCAAATGATTTTTTTGTCTCATTTATCACAACAAAATAAACAAATTATTAAATATTATAGTATTTCAAATAAACGTTTTTACCTTTATTAATTTCAGAGTGAAAATTGTATGCAAGTTGCGACTTTTTCTTACTCTTCTTACTCTTCTTCTTCCCTCTTCCTTGCTCCCTTTTTTATCTCACTTTTATCTCTCCTTTTCGACTCACTCAGCTCACCACTGACCATTGCCCAGTGACCAGTGACCAGTCAATGGTGATTCTTCAATCGCAAGCTACGCATCACAGTGATGCCGTTTTCAACAAAATCATCCAGTGCGGATAGTGGAGTTAATAGTAGCAGTTCTACTAATAATTCATTGATACTGGAAAGTAATCGCGATAAACCGTTTCAATGTACAATTTGTAACAAATCCTTTGGTTATAAACATGTTTTACAAAACCATGAACGGACTCACACTGGAGAAAAGCCTTTCCAATGTCGTGAATGTCAAAAAAAGTTTACTCGAGATCATCATCTTAAGACCCATATGAGACTCCATACCGGTGAGAAGCCATATCAATGTGAACATTGTAATAAACTTTTTGTCCAAGTTGCCAACCTTCGTCGACACCTTCGTACTCATACAGGTGAACGTCCTTATGCTTGTGATGCTTGTGAATCCAAGTTTTCTGATTCTAATCAATTGAAAGCTCATAAACTGATACACAAAGGTGAGAAACCATATACATGTGAAAAGTGCCTTGGAAAATTTCGCCGTCGACATCACTTAAATCACCACAAATGTCCAAAAGATGAAGCCAATTTAGGTAAACCAAGAAGAGGTCGAAGACCCAAAGCATATGATCATGGATCCATCGGAGTATCTTCACCTTCACCATCGACTGTACATCATTCTGTGAATTTAAACGCTGCAAATACTAGTATATTTAATCCTGTTATATCACCTATGTCAACATCAACTGTTTCCTCGATCCAGAATATTAATCTCACAAATCTTAATAACGACAAATCTAACCTCAACATTAATCGACCAGGATCAGTCCATTCAGTTTCTGGCTCATTAACCGAAGATGAATTGACTTTACGTTTCGCAGCTCGTTCACCGGCTACATCGACAGTCTCTTCCTCACAAGTCTCCTCCATATCATCAACAAACACGTCTTCCTTGATTTTCCCGCACCTATTTAGTGGACCAAGTGGACACCTTAGTCTGTTATCTTCAAATAATTTTTTTCCTCCAGCAGCTCATTCAAGTCAAAGGTTATCTAGTGCTGAAATTATAAGTCAATTAGAACACCAACAAAGAGTAAAAGACCTAAACCGAAATCAAACTCAACAACAACAAAATGATGTTTCCTCAAAATCCAGGCGAAAGCCAACACATCCTTTAAAAATAATGTCCAAAGGAGATGAAGATTATTACAATTACGGAAACAATTCAATGCAAACTCAACCGCTCAACATGTCTCGGTCACCATCGACATTTCCTATGAACCTTTCTGGACAAATTTCCCAATCGAACCACATTATTTCTTACAAAAACTTCCAGCTATCAAAACAAATCTTAGATAATGAAGGCGATGTTCTGGATTTATCTTCGCGGTCTCGAAGTGAAGTTGAATCTGAACTTGAAAAAAGCGACGATGAAGAAGACGACGTTCGTGGCATTGATGATCCAGATGATGACACTGACAGGGAATTGATACAGGATGAAGACGATAACGAGGATGAATATGATTCAGATTCTCATCATCATCGTTCTTGCCTAGAATTTCATTTATCGTCTACGCGTGATTCGCATAAAACATCAGGACAACCTAATCTACCTCATAACCACGCACAACATCATCGTCAATGTCGTCTTCCTCTTGACATCGTAACTCCACCAAGTGATTCAGCTTCGTCATCGACGCACCCATCATTGACTGCAAGTTCAAATCTAACTCCTTATTTAAAATCAAATGAAGATTTCAACGCAAATAACTATTCAAGGTTCATTAATTAACTAATTGTTTAAAAACGATCTCTCTTCTTTTCTTACTCTTTCTACCTCTTTCTTTCTCATGAATAAATCAAACGGGCTAATGATAATTCGATTCTAATTTTTTAAAATAATAAAGATAGTATTTCAAATAAACGTTTTGACCTTCATTAATTTCTGAGTGAAAATTGTATGAATATCTCAACTCATTGAACGTGTGGACATCTAAACGGATTGACCTATCAACAAAAGATACCCAAAGATTGCACGTCCACAAATGTCAAACAAAACAAAATTTACACACTTATGAAATTTTGAACTCATAACTTGTAAATTGATTAATTAATGATAACGATAATCTTCTCGTTTATTTACACTCTATTTTCATTCAATCAGGAAGACAATTTATCTCAACCCAGAAAAAGGATCTTGCAAGAAATATAAGTGTTGACCAGAAAAATCAATGTAAATAAGATATTAATTTTGTTTTCTTTTTCCCAAAATAGACCAAATCGCCTTCGGACCATCTGAATAACCGAAACCGAATTCCAGAAACTAAAATCAAAGGCTGTCGTGAGAATTGGAACCAAAATTTTACCGGATTCGCCATTCAAGCCTTAAACGTTATCATGCACCAATCCAACCACTTGTTTCAACAGTTTAAATGATGCCAGCGATAAAAAAGACTCCAATGTTTTGGAAAATTTAAATCCAGTACTCAAAATGGTGCAATTTTAAATATCGTTTCAAATGCTGGATGAGTCAGAACTTGTATCTGAAGTTCAATCAAATTAAAAGTCAAGTCGTGTTGGTCTGCAATTTGGAAAAACAAATATCTTATTTACTTGGATTTTCACACTTTTTAATGTCTACTTTTAATGTTTATTTTGAGGATGATCCTTTTATGGTTGAGATAATCATCAATTATATTCTTGTCTTGCTTAGATATTTTAGATTTATATCAATTGTGATTAGTCCAAAACAAGTTTACCAATAGAAGCATATGATTTGAAATTTTGAAATTTCAATTTTCCTTCCCAAGACATTTTCCATATTTCCATGATTCTTTATGCCTTTCTTTTCTCCATCTCTTTATTTTCCTTTCTTCCTAATCTTAAATTTTATTCCATTTTTTTCCTCTCTTCTCTTGCTCTTCCTTGTATTGATCATCAGCACCATCTTAATCACCATCACAATCAACCTGAAGAAGAAGAAGAAGAAAAGCCGAGCCCAAAAAGATCTTATAACGAAATAACGAAGGGTCAATCAAACGTATTGTTGTTGTTGTGTCTTGTGTTATGCTGATGGTGGACACAGGGCAAGGCCCTGACCCTTGTCCTTTGGACGAACCCGGATTATGCCGAGCCTCAGCCCTGTCTAGGGCATTCAACCTATGACCCTTTCTACCCTTCCTTCTCCCTTTCTTCTTCTTCATCTTCATCTTCTTCTTTTCAATTCAATTGTTGGCCAAATTTTTTCTTTCTTCAGTAAAAAAATGTTTAACCCATAAAAAACCTTGTCAACCCCTTGTTGTTTACTCGAGACCTTTTTCTCTCTCTTTTCCCTTTCTTCTCTTTCGTTCTTCTCTCTCTCTCTTTCGCTAGGGTTCAAGGCCCTTTACCCTCTGCCTTTTCCCTTTATTATCGAGCCCCTTTAGGCCCAAACAAACCCGTTTCACAATTTTTCGTGCTCAACTTGTTTACCTTTTTTTTCCTTCAAATTTTTTACTTCACTTTTTTGTATTAATATTTTTCTTTCAACTTGTTAACTTTCTTAGCTTTTTGTTTTCTTTCTTTTTCTTCATTTTCTTGTCAATCTTTCTCTTCGCTGCCCAAAAATGTAATATAATAGATAATATTACTTGAATTTGATGCTTTTACTTCGGCCCTTTCTTGCTTTTTAACCATTTCGTGCTGTTCAAGATCAACAAAAATCAAGTTAAGACTTTTCTTCAGTTCACTTTGGTTTTGTTTTTCTTCCTCTTCTTTACTTTTTCCTCTTTAGTAACTCTTCTTTTCTCATTTAATTGCTTTCTCTTTGTTAATTTGGACTCATTGGTAAATCGATTAACCTATCAAGTTTAGCATTTCAAATGTTTTTGCGGTTAAAATGATTGACTTTTCAAACTTTCGTCTTCATCTTTTCAAATTTTAAATCAACGAAAATTTTAGCGGTTAAACTACAAATTCGAATTTCGTTCCTTCGATATTTTTATTGTTAACTTTGCAAAAATTGGAGTTAATATTTTGCTTGGAGTTTAAACTTCCAACTTCAATTTTATTGCTATTACGTTAATTGCTTTTCTCTGACATTAGATGGCGATTCTGTTTTCTGTTTACTGCTTACTGCTGCCATCTGTAATGAATATTTTTAAACTTTGGCGCCAAAGATTTTTTGTTAGACATGTTTTAATACCCATTTTCATATGTTAATTTTTTAATTGTTTTTAATAAAATTCAACCTACTTTTTAGCTTTTAATTTAGTGTCTATGAACTTCTGTGTCTAGGCTTACAATTTAAGTGTTTTTAGTCGTTTCCATTCATCACTGTTATGGCTGATATTGACTTGTACTCAGACTTGGATTGGGACAAATTTGATGAAAACAATATTGGTTCAAATCTCAATGATGTTGCTATTCTCCAGGATTCGTTTGACAAGTTAGAGAAGGAAAAAAATGTCGTCGATTCAGAATTGAAAGAAATCAAGGAAAAATACGAGCGTATGGTGATGGTCAATAAAATTTTAAAAACAAACATCTCATCTTTGTATAAAACTGCAAAAGCGGAGTTGGAAAGAAAAAACGATCGAATTAGTGAACTAACCAGACAAATTGATGATCTAGTGTTTAGACGAAGAACTAGTTCAAAGTAAGTTTTCAAATTGATAAAAAAGCAAGATTCTAACCTTTTTTTAACTTTGTTCACGCAGGTGAGAACCCATGTGGCTTTGATAAATGTCTTGGAAGATTTCACCGTGGATATCATTTAAATGACCATAAATATCCGAAAGATAAAGCCAATTTAGGTGAACCAATAAGAGGTCGATTTGCTTTTAATCATAGACTTATCTCATGGAGGATCAATGCCATTAATTTCTACTGTACATCGACATTTGTGTTTATCTCTACAAGTCAATATTGTAATATATTTTGTATAACTACACCAACAATCGAATGAATTCGATTTTTAACCTAGTTTGAGTTGTTTATTGAATTCGGTTTGCTTTGACGCTATCGAAAACTCACTCAGTTTCAATTTGAGACTTATATCTCTATATTAATTTTGGAGATTTGAATGTGTGTGGCAGCTAATGTACTGAAAAACTAGCGTGATTGCTTACTCAATATTGTAGCACATTCACAATCTGGACTTGTAATGGGAATATTGGAAAGCAATAAAATCAAGATTCACATAATTTTTGACTCGAATCAAATTGATGACAAAAAAGGTGTTGAACAATTAATTCAATCATCATTAATGGATTCAAGGTAAACTCATTGTGTTTTAATGAATTTATCTTTTGATTATTTCAATCTTTTGTCAGTAATTAAATAAATGATAAAAGTGAAGACAAAACATTTTTAGCTTATAATTGAACATTTGTTGTGGTTATAAAAAAAGATTCACAATCAATAATGACTTTTAATTGTTATTAGGTCAATAAAAGGTTAAAGAAAGATTGAAATAACCATTGGTTTAATGTTATTATCATTATTGAATTGATTCGATCATGCAGATCATCATTTGGATTCGTGCTTTTTCACTTAAAACAATAATCTGATGAATAATGTAAATTGAATATGATTTCAGTGAAATGAACACAATTTCAACATTTTTTTTTCTTTTCTTTTTCAGGTTATAAATGATTTGCTTTTAACCATTGAGTGAGATTCACAGATGAAGCTGATTATTAAACAGCAACTCAACAGCTATTATTAAATTAACCTTATCCAGACCAAGAAAGGCAGGATTAAACATGGCGTCAACAATTTAGTGGTTGAAATGGAAAGTTAAGATTGTGCACTGGATTGTTAGTCAATGAAACTGGAAAACTAATGAAATGGTTACATTAATTGTATAATTGATGATGGGTTTGAGCACAATAAAGGCTTCCCTGGGTTTCAATAGCAATCGACTGGTTAATTGTTAATGGAGGTTACCTTCTTCTAGATAATAATGTTCATTTTTTTCAATTTAACTTTTTGCTACTTTATTATAAATGGCGTTGTTGAGGCCAATCCGTGGATAATAATACAGTGATCTGGTTAATTAAATTGTTTAATTTTTCAACAGTTAAACAGCTAAATCATCATCAAAAGCAGCAACAGCATCGTCTCTGGTTACGGTTTAACTGGAAAAAATTGTATCAAGGGTTTCAATTTCATTTTCAACCTTTTTACACATATTTTCATGTTATACTTTTCAATCTTTACTCGGTTTGCCAACGGTAACTGATTGATTAGCTGGTAAAAGTTAATTGTTTTTATATTATATAACTATTGTAACCGAAATGAATTAGTTGATGTTGGGCTGATTGAAGATGAAATGAAGCCGAGTTACACTTGAAAATCAAATGGTTTTCAAGTAAACCTGAAATTTTTGGGGTTTAATAGCTCAAGACCTAGAAGTAAAATGAATTTATAATCTTTGAAACTGAAATTAGTCCAATGAGAGATATTATCATCTCTTGATCATCAAAGTAATCATGTTCATTCAGTTAAATGTCACCTTAAAAGCTCATCTAAATATAACTTTACTTTCTTGGATTAGCTTTGAAGAAATGGTTTTACAAAGGTTTCCATTAATCTCTATTGTATTAATACATCTATTTGTACAACAGTTAGTTAAAAGTGAACAACATTTAATGACAATTGTGTATTAAATAGACTCAAAACAAGGGATTGATGATTGTTTTTTGATAATTGAAAATGATTGAATTAGGGAAACATTTAAAGCTTTGCTCTTTTTTGTTTAACAGCGACAATCACTGTAAATTGATGAGAATGTGAAATTGGTTTGACCAAATATAGACAGTTAAGTTAATTGTTCAATTGAAATGGGAATCTTGGAGAGGATATTAATCAAGAGCCAAGTTGAATTTGATAAGAATCGGAAAAGGAAAGTTTTTAATAAAAATTGAATTGGATTAGTTTGATTCTAACGGATGTGAATGAATAAAGATGAATCATGATGATTAGGAGCAATGGTGAAAATGAAGATGAAAACGGTGATGATGATGATGATGATAATGATGATAGTGATGATACCAGTCTGTTAACAGTGATGACATTATTGATTGATTAAAATTAGTGTGTAAAAATTTGTATTGTGAAATTGAGTGAAGATTAAATGAACAAGAAGAAGAAGGTTAAATTGTTCAATTATATCGTCTCAATGTTACAAGAATTTTTCTTACACTGATGATGATAAAGATGATGATGATTAGGAGGGAAGAGTGATGAGGAAGTAGGCTGGCTATATTACAATTAATACATGATTTAATCACAATTTCCCGTGAATTACGAGTCCAAACAACTTTACGCTTTACAACATTTATCACTTCAATCGAGTCTTTTCCCTTGCTTTGGGTAAACTCATGCTTAAACAACAGGTGAAAGCTGAGATGATTTAAATCTTAATTACTGACATTTACATGATTTACTTGCCTACAATGGATTTCCTAGTATTGAATGTCTTTTGATTGTGTTTTATGATTAGAGTCTACTTTCAGGCAATTTACATTCAGCAATTGTTTTTTTTTTCTCATGATCCTCACAATTTCTTGATCAACCTTGATTGATTCTTAATTTAACTTGTTCAGTTGAACATCAATCTTCTCATATCACCATGATTAGGAAAAAAAACTCGGCGAGTTTAAATGATCTAGTTTTGGAGCAACAGCAAAAATTGATGATTTCAGATTTACAATTAGATTAGTTTTGGTCAGCAAATTGTCTGTTAGCTAATAATTGTAACAATTTTACTCTATTTATCATTGATAATTTAACCTTTAATGATGGCCTTCTTTGTTAAATGCAAAAAAGTCAAATCTCAAACTATTTTGTTTGCTCTCAATCTGGTTATTTTAATAGAAATAATTAGGTTTCTTTCATTCGCATGCTTAACTCTTTCCATCACCGTCTGTTTGTTTAATCATTGATGGTGAACAGGATGATTCTGAAGGATGAACAGTGGATGATAATTATGATTATCATGTTAATTTTCATAAAGATGCAGTCTAAATCTTTGAGACAGTGAAACCCAAAAAGTCGATGACAAAAAAACTTGGCATAAGATTTTAACATTCAAGGTAATGTAAACCATAATTCTGGTTTGCTTTCAACCCAAACAGCTATTAATTTCAATTAGGGCTGATTGAATGGCTAAAATTTTATGACCTTTATCAATTACGATGGCTCAGTTTCATAGATTAGTGAATAAAATATGAATTTTCAATGGCCATTGATTAATATCAACCTTTTTTCAATTCAATTTTTCCGTTTTCTAAAACAGGTGAAATATTGAAAAGATAACTCAAAAGGGTTATGTACTAATTTATTTTGCATTTACTGGTACTTTGAGGCCTAACTTAGCTCCAATTTTTTGAATTGAAAGCCATTAGAGTTTTTGATAACTCATTATTCTCGAATGACACCTATCTCATTCAAATCGGTCTCGGGTAACTTATGAGGTTCACTTGTTAGTTTGATTACTGAATCCTATAATAACAAAACACAATTTAAATCCTCCTCCTCCTCCTCTCCATCATCATCATCAGAATCATCATCATCGTCTCCACTCTTTTCAATTTTCCCTCTTACTCTCGCTCTCTCTCGCTTCTCGAGTTAACTCTCATTTAGTCTAAATTAGCCTCTCGAAGCTGAAAGTTGTTGATATCTTTTGGCTTTTCACTTGCTTGTTACCACTTTGAGTTGGTAAAAAAGTTTGATTTTGATTGTTGAAGACGTGAAAAGAGAGCTTAGGCAATCACCATCATCATCATTCTCATCATTTTCATCATCATCCTGCCTGTAATTGACGATCAAATTGGATAAACATTTGGATTTTTTATAATCTATTTTAAAAGTAAGATTTACTGTTTTCTACATTGCCATTGTCAAGCCTTTACCATCACATTAGCCTAACCTGGTTATGCTAACACAAACCCAAGTTAATTTTTCCTATTTTAATCCCATGTTATTTTGATCTTTAGTCATTCATATTTCCAGTATTAGTTAGTTTACTGTTGGTTCAAATTTTTCTATTACCTTTGTTCAACAAAAATGGCTAAAAAAAAGGCAGAGTTAGATGATCTCAAGCAAGAACTTGATGTGGTAAGTTTCCCTGTTTATTTCTGTTATATCTCTATCCACATAATTTTTTAAATTGTTTTGCTGTTGATTTTATTATACTTTTTGCCTCCATTTAATGATATTTATGTTTATTTTTACGACCAATTATTCTCAAATGGCCCCTCAACACCAACAATGTGTCTACAATGTTTGCCTATGTTTTACCTCTATGTTATCGACATCAAATTATTGTGTTAAAAGGATGACCATATTATTACACTTGATGAATTATGTTCCAGACTTAAAACTGATCCAGTTAAGGGGTTGACGTCGGCTCAAGCCAAGGCTGTGTATGAAAGAGATGGACCTAATGCGTTAACTCCACCGCCAACAACACCCGAATGGGTTAAATTTTGTAAACAGCTTTTCGGAGGATTTGCGCTTCTTCTTTGGATTGGTGCAGTTCTATGTTTCCTGGCTTATTCCATTCAAGCTTCAACTGGCGATAATGCTTCACCTGATAATGTGAGTTTTTTTCATTTACTATTTGTTCATTTATACCACTAATAACCCAAAAATTTAACAATTAATATACAATTATGAACGTGAAGGAAAATTTGATAAAACTATAGTAGATCAATGACGTTTGCTTGAAAATTATGTCAACGTTTTTCAAATACATTAGACTTTAATTTCTTATTTTTTGAGTAACTGTGGAAGTTGAAAATTTTATCTATTTTAATTGATGGCTTTTTTATGAGCTCTACTTTTGATTGCTGAGCTACTTAAAAATATTAATAAAGCCATGAGCAGCTTTTAGGAAAAAAAATAGCTTGTATTATAACTCAAATGAACATCTTCTGATTAAATTTTCTTGTCTTCTTTTTCATTTTAATTTTCAGTTATACCTAGGTATTGTACTTGCAGTAGTCGTCATCGTTACAGGATGTTTTTCTTATTACCAAGAAGCCAAAAGTTCTGCTATTATGGAATCATTCAAAAGTATGGTTCCACAATATGCTCTAGTCGTCAGAGAAGGTCAAAAACTCACAATTCCGGCTGAGGAGGTTGTTGTTGGTGATGTTGTCGAGGTTAAAGGAGGTGATCGTATTCCTGCCGATATTAGGATTTTGTTTGCTCATCAATGTAAAGTAGATAATTCATCATTGACCGGAGAATCAGAACCACAGACTAGGAGTCCAGAAAAGACTCATGATAATCCATTGGAAACTAGAAATTTGGCTTTCTTCTCTACTAATTGTGTTGAAGGAACAGCTACAGGTGTTGTTATCCAAACTGGAGATCGAACCGTTATGGGTCGTATCGCCAACTTGGCATCTGGTCTTGAGATTGGTCAAACTCCAATCAATCGAGAAATTGAGCATTTCATTCACATTATCACTGGAGTCGCCGTTTTCTTGGGAGTTTCATTTTTCATTATTGCCATAATCCTCAACTATCCTTGGCTTGAAGCCGTCATCTTCTTGATTGGTATTATTGTAGCCAATGTACCAGAAGGTTTACTTGCCACTGTAACAGTCTGTCTTACTTTGACTGCCAAGAGAATGGCTTCTAAAAATTGTCTGGTCAAGAATTTAGAGGCTGTTGAGACACTTGGTTCAACTTCAACGATCTGCTCTGATAAAACTGGTACATTAACTCAAAACCGTATGACAGTTGCTCATATGTGGTTTGACAATCATATCATCGAGGCTGACACAACTGAAGATCAATCAGGTATTTTTTTTCTCCTTTTTAATTTAACTTGAAATTGTTTGAATCAAATATTGAGAATTTTTAACATTTGAACAAACGAAAACTCTTTTTTTTCATTTTACATTTTCTATCGTAATATTTATATTTCTCTCTGATTTCTTCACTCTTCATGATTAGGTTTGGCGTATGATAAATCTTCCCCAGGATGGAAAAGTCTTGCCAATGTTTGTATGCTGTGTAGCCGGGCCGAGTTTACAGGAGGTCAAGAAAACATTCCCGTATTGAAAAGGTACTTTGATTTAAATTTTTATTGAAATCTTTATATTTAAACTTATTTTATAATATTTCAACAGAGATACCTCAGGAGATGCATCAGAATCGGCTATATTGAAATGTATGGAATTGGCAGTTGGTGATGTTGTAGGTTTTCGAAGGAAAAACAAAAAAATTTGCGAAATCCCTTTCAATTCTACTAACAAATATCATGTAACTATTCACGAAACTGAAACTCGAGATGGATTTTTACTGTGTATGAAAGGAGCACCTGAAAGGATTTTGGAGCGCTGTTCAACTATCTATATTGACGGAAAGGAGAGGCAATTAGATGCTAAAATGCGAGAAGCTTTTGAAAAAGCTTACCTTGAATTGGGTGGACTTGGAGAAAGAGTTATCGGTTTTTGTGATTTAAAACTGCCAGCGGATAAATTTGGTCCTGATTTTAAATTTGACCCAGACGAGGCAAACTTCCCATTAGATGGCTTGCGATTTGTTGGTCTTGTATCCATGATTGATCCTCCTCGAGCTGCTGTACCAGATGCTGTCGCTAAATGTCGAAGTGCTGGTATCAAAGTTATTATGGTCACTGGTGATCATCCCATTACTGCCAAAGCTATTGCTAGAGCTGTCGGAATCATCTCAGAAGGTTCTGAAACTGTTGAAGATATTGCTGAACGAAAAAAGATACCTGTTGAATCTGTTAATCCAAGAGAAGCACAGGCTGCGGTTGTACACGGAGGAGAACTTAGAGATTTATCTACTGAACAATTAGATGAAATACTTAAATATCACAAAGAAATTGTCTTCGCCCGAACATCTCCTCAACAGAAGTTGATTATCGTCGAAGGTTGCCAGCGACAAGGAGCAATTGTAGCTGTAACTGGTGATGGTGTAAATGATTCTCCAGCTCTTAAGAAAGCCGATATTGGTGTTGCTATGGGTATCGCTGGTTCAGACGTTAGTAAACAAGCTGCTGATATGATTTTGTTGGATGATAACTTCGCTTCTATCGTGACTGGTGTTGAGGAAGGCCGTCTCATCTTTGACAATCTTAAAAAATCAATTGCTTACACTTTAACAAGTAATATTCCTGAGATCTCACCATTTTTGTTTTTCATCATCTTCAATATACCTCTTCCTCTGGGAACTGTGACCATTCTTTGTATTGATTTGGGTACTGACATGGTACCAGCTATCTCATTGGCCTATGAACAAGCTGAAAGTGATATCATGAAACGTCAACCTCGTGACCCGAAGAAGGATAAACTTGTAAATGAAAGACTTATTTCCATGTCTTATGGTCAAATTGGTTTTATTCAAGCTGCTGCTGGTTTCTTCACTTACTTCGTTGTTATGGCTGAAAATGGTTTCCTTCCAAATATACTTTTCGGTATACGTAATGATTGGGACTCTAGGGCGATTAATGATGTTATAGACTCATATGGTCAAGAATGGGTAAATTAATTTATTATTCAAAATTTATTGAAAGAAAATGATTTTATTCTAATTCTTTTTTATCTCTCATTCCTTATTACAGACTTACAAAGCTCGTAAACAATTAGAATATACTTGCCACACTGCCTTTTTTGTAGCTATCGTAATTGTACAATGGACTGACTTGATAGTTTGTAAAACAAGACGTAACTCTTTAATCCAACAAGGAATGAAGTAAGTTCATTTATTTATTTTCATTCATCAACCTTTTATAATTCATTTTTTTGTATCATTATTATTACAGGAATCATGCCTTAACTTTTGGTATCTTTTTTGAAACTGCCTTGGCCGCTTTCCTTTCATATACACCAGGAATGGACGTCGTTCTGAAACTTTATCCTCTAAAGTAAGCTCTAAATTTAAAGCTTTCATTTTTGAAATTTACTAATCAAAATACCTTTTATTTCTTATTATTATCAGAGCTTCTTGGTGGTTCCCTGCTATGCCATTCTCTCTGTTGATTCTCATTTATGATGAAGCCCGACGTTTTATTTTGCGACGTAATCCAGGTGGTTGGGTTGAACAAGAAACATATTATTAAATTTTTGTTTGTTTTTTCCTTCGTTACCAACAAGAAGCTTGATTGTTTCTTGTTACTACTATTCGTAAACAAACAAGCTTGTTATCGGACAAAATTTGCTATTTATAGTCGATCTGGCGACTAATTGATATAAGATAGATGAAAAGAGCTACGCTTGTATAAAATATCATTGATTGAGATCAAATTGATTTAGAGAAACTTGATATGAAAAAATCTAACAAACAGAAAATTACAAAACGTCAGATGTTCCATTCCATTTTTTCACATTTAATTTTAAATCAAATTGTTTTCAATTTTAAAACACTTTTAAATTAGTACAATAAAAATTAATATCATTGCGCTGGTGATATTGAAAATAATCTAGTAGATCAATGGCTAGTCGCTCCTTGATGGAAGTGTTGATTAAACGCAAATTGAAATGATAAATCGATAATAAGCTTTCGATTTTTAGCACAAGATTGATTAACAATTTTTAAGCAAAATAATTATTATGAGAATCCTGGAGATACAATTTAAATTGTATGATCAAATATTTTAAGAACTCAAATAAACAAAACAATTTAATCATGCACAAACAAAATATGTTTGAGTTTCTTAAACGTTAATAATAAAAGTCATTGCCTTCTAATTAAATCGTCTCAAATATACAATCAATATTCAAGTAGATGAGTATCAAATGATTTAGTTAGGTTGAATGATGAATCAATACAAAATGGTTCATAAATCTCGCAGTTTTGCATATTCGATATAAAAAGTTGTGAGCAAATCATTTATTTCTTATAATTCTGTAGATTTTAGCATCGATATGAATGTTAATTGATGGTATCCTTTCAATCGACTCGAAACACTTCTGAGATACTACATGCATGATAATGAGAGTTTATTTCTGCATGAAACAGAACCAATACAAAACTAAAATATTTCAGAAATATTTTCATTTTCCTTTACGGTCAGTTTCAGAAAGATGGGAAAAATTGCTTCATTGCAATGATATAAGTATAAAAATTTGCCAGATTTGCCATTTTTTGTATTTGGAATTATTTCTTTTCGGAATTATGATGATTAGCAATTATGATCACCTTATTATGATTATTATCAGCATTGCAACACCAACTCAAATATTTACACCAGTATCAGATTCCCAAAGACTGGAAGTACAAGAGCAGAAGAGGTGTTTCGGGGTTTTTAGATTTAGTCTTGTAATTCATTGTTCATCATTGAAATGCGTTTTTATATAAATGATCAATTTTTTGCCAATAAGCCTCTAGGAATCGCTCGATTTTGAAGAGATTTAATTGTAGAGTCAGTATGTATTCATTTTATTTCGTTTTAATTTCTATGGCTTCGAAGGGTCACTGAAGGCATAAATGGAATGACTCGATCTGTTAGATTAGTTAGATGTTCAAATTAGAAAGCTCTGGAAATAAGAAATGGAAAACTTATAGATGATGTTATTACAATATATTGGAATTTTAGATTTATTTCCACGAGTAAAGTGGACACTTCTCTCAATTCAACGATATTTCGCTTGATTCTGTTGGTTGTCATCTTAAATATGAGAATGGCAGCCAATCACCCTTTTCAACTACAAAACTTACTATTTGCTATTATCTAATGCGGCTGAATATCAGATAGATTTTAAATTAAATGAAATGATTAATATCATAAAAATCAGCTAAAAAACTAAAAATAATAAAATAATAAAAAAGTTAGAATATAAATGTTGGATAAAATTGTTAACCAGAAAAAAATTCAAAACTGGCGGTAAATTTATCAAGGATGGAGTTTAAGTATCTCCTTGGTGTTTATCCGGAAACGGAAAAGGAATATAGCTGTCTTAGCTGTGTTTTGCGGAATTGGTTTGTTCTTGTGTTTATTATAGTCAATAAATTGCTATTACTTTTGTGTTAGCCTGTTTAGTTTTTTAATTTAATTTAACAAAATGAAAACAATTCACGCTCAACAAGAAGTTATTATTCCTCCTAAAGTGACGGCCTCAGTAAATAATGGAGTAGTTAAGATCACCGGTCCAAGAGGAACCCTTAAACGTAACTTTGGTCATGGACATCTCCAAATCAGTATGCTCGGTAATAAGAGATTGCTTGTCCAAAAATGGTTCGGAAACAAAAAACAACTGGCCTTGGTCCGTACCGTATGCAGTCACGTCCAAAATATGATCAAAGGAGTGACCCTTGGTTTCAGATACAAGATGAGAAGCGTTTACCGTCATTTCCCCATCAACATAGCTATCCAGAATGAAGGTAAATTGGTGGAGATCAGAAACTTTTTAGGAGAGAAATTCTTGCGAAGCGTTGACATGCAGCCTGGAGTGACATGTTACATGTCTACAGCCCAAAAAGATGAAATTATCCTCGAAGGAAATGATATCGAATTGGTGAGCAAGTCAGCTGCTAGAATCCAACAATCAACCACGGTTAAGGACAAGGATATCAGAAAATTCTTAGACGGTGTATATGTTAGCGAAAAGACCACTATTGAAACTCCTGCATCTTAGAAGAAGCAAAGAGTTACCCTTTCCTTTGATTTTTGTTTGAATTGCACCAGCTAATAAAATTAATTTCAAATTAAAACTATACTCGTGTCATCTATTTCTTTAAAGCCCATATGAATTTTACTTTGTATGTTTGCCTAGGAATAATATGCCAAAATAGTGTATTTAAACTTTATCAATTTAGCGTTAGATCGTAACAGGAATTTGAGTTTTAAGAGGTGAAAATTGAGTTTCATTTAAATCACATTGAAATTGAATAAAGTGACTTGAGTTCTTGTCGCTTGGTTACCAATAACAACAAACTCATCGTGCTGTATTTTTGTCTTATTGTGTTTTGGTTGGTTTTAAGTCAATTAGTTTCCATTTTTACTTGAAACAGTTATATTTCATTCACATTAATCATCGTCATGGGTTGATTGTTCATCTTCAAAGAGTAGTTTGACTGTTTGTTTAACTGGATAGCATTACCAAGTCCTAATCTTTGCAACTGTAATCTAGGTGATTTGGTGTGCTATACTTTCTTCACTTTTAACTGATTGTCAAAATATTTTAATTGCCGACCAATACATTAATATTATAACTTAATTAAAATGGTAAGTCTTCTATATCCTTTCTACTGATTAAAACATGTGAAAATGTATTAACTTACCACAAATTTTGTATCTAGGCTATACTTGGAATACAATTGGTTGTGACAATGGTGATGTTAAGTATCTTGCATAAGTTTGCCATTCATTACTCTTTTGCTCGATGGTTACTTGCTCACAGGTCGGTATTATTATCTAGTTGGCCTTGTTTTATAGTCGCTACAATTCCATTCCTTGTTCATAAATTAATACCCCATCTTTTAAAATAATTAGGTTGATCAGGTATCTTCAACCAACCGAACAGCAGATTAAGCGTGGTGTTGCTGCTCTCGCAAATGAAAGAAAAGCCCATCAAGACGATAAAAATGTTAAACAATCCAAATCAAAGTCTAATAAACAATCATCTTTTCGAGGAAAAAGAGGCAGATCTGATAAAAACAAAGCTGATGAAAATCTGGTTCCTAAAAAGTTGGCATTAACTTTGGAAGCCGAAAGAGTGCATTCCATAGATTTGATTCAACTAAATTTTTATAAGGAATATCACTGGCTTATTGATTTTGCCTTATATGCAACCATTGTGTATATCATTTCTGAAATTCAGTTCTATTTAATTCCTGAAAGCAAAGAAATGAATCTCAGTTTAATCTGGTGTATACTCGTTATTGGTTTCACCACGTAAGTCTTTACTTCAATATTTTTTATAATATTCACAATGTTTCAATGTTTGTCAGTAATATTTCAATGTTAAATAATATTTATTTTAATATTTTCTTCTAGGAAATTGTTGTTAACTATCACCGGAATCTACTTCAGAGGGAATGATGATGCAATTGGGGAAAGATCAATGTGTCTGGTATCTGGAGGCCTTTTCTTTCTCTTTTCTATGATTGTTCTCATTGCTGATGAAAATTTTCTGGAATTTGGATTGAATCCAGCCTATTCTACATTCAATTCAAATGCTATTCAGTTTTTTGAAGCTCATGGGCTACATGAGAGCACTAAGGGAGTCACATCTAAATTGTTATTCAAATTTTGGCTCGCCGTGTGGAGTGGATTAATCGGTGCTCTATTTATCTTCCCTGGTATACGGTTTGCACAAATGCATAAAGACTCTTTAGATTACGCTGCAGGAAAACCGTTTCAACAGTAAGCTTTTCAGTTGAACCTTTTCTTCGTTCTTAATTATGATTGCTAACATCATTTTCTTCTCTTTGTCAGATTTTTATTTCATACGGCTTTTATATCACCTTTATTAATTATCCTTTCATGGATCAAACCAATCGGTCGTGTCTATTTTTCTGAAAAAGTTTGGCCTAACAGAGGAGTTCTGTAAGATTTGGAGTTAAACTCTCTTTTTGGGTTGATGCAATTCTCTAACTCAAATGCTTTCTTTTGTTTTACAGAATGGCTCCAGTCTCGTTTGATACGCTTCGAATCGTTATAATTTTAGCTATTATGATATTTCGAATTATTTTAATGCCAAAATATCTGCAAGCATATCTTAACTTAGCTCCTCGTAAATTAAGTAAATTAACGCGTGAATCTGGTAAAGTTAAAACTGAAGTGATCCAAAGGACGGTTAGTAATTAAAATTTAAGTTCAATGATGAGTATCACAATTTTTATTTGCTTTTCTACAGGTTTCAGGAGTATTTTATTACCTCTGCGTCGTGTGTCTCCAGTACGTTTGTCCTCTTCTGTTGATCCTTTTCACGTGTATCTTGATGAAAAATTTGGGCGACTATCAATGGTTAAGCTTGTTTACTGGCCAATCGACTGGAGTGTCCGAGGCATACATTTTTGGATCATCTGAACAGTTCAGTCTGAAAGAATTAAGAGCAGTTTTTAATCCAGTATTTTTCAGAGGAGTCCTTGGTTACATGAGCTGGTGGCTGTCAGTTGTTTGGTTTACTACAAGTGTCATTGGTTTTATTTACCATTCTTACTTCAGTAGAGAAAATGAAGGCTCTCAAAAGAATTAGTTAAATATTAGTTTTGATACTAGACGTGTCAGTTTTCAGTAAATTGTAATTTCAATTCACTTGCATTTTTGAAAACGAGGTGATATAGAAATGACAATTTTAGCAATAAGAATCATATTTTTACAGTGAGCATAATAAGCATGAATATCTTATTATGGTCTCTTCTCGCCACTGCCATTATTCGTAATTGACTAAATTGAATAATTCAGTATATTTCAATAAGATCTAACAATTCTTAATTTTGTAGCCAAACTAACTGTTAGAAATACTTTTGAGCTCTACAAAGTTCCTTCCTTGATAAGTGTACCATGACCTCTTCATCGCTTCAAGATATCTATGTTATGATTTTCTTGAAAAAATGCATTTTCCTTAATAAAGTTTCTAGTCTCTTTACATTGCTTTACAAAACTAAGATCTCTTTACTTTTTCCAACGCTGATATTGTAACATCTAGCGATTCGGTGTTTTTTTCGATAAGATCCAACATGAGACAATTTCACAAATTGACAAAATTAGAAAAGGCAAAAAAATGGCAAAAGCGAATGAAAAATAATTTCTTTCAAATCGATAGTTTCCGAGAAAATCGAGGTTAAATTGCAAACTGCGATCGCGTTTCACTCCACTATGGAAGCAGATTTTCGCATGAAACACATTTATCTTATTTAACTTTGCTTGTATAATCAGAAAATGCAACTATTTTGAAAAATAAAGTTTTCTGTTTTATGTAAAACGATGCCTTCGATTTTCAGTTAAGCCGAACGCTTTCAATGATCGTGCGAAAATTGATAATACACATCAATTGATCAATTTGCCGGCAGTTCTCTTGATTGCCCTTAAAACTTTGAACCTCATTACTTCGTGTATGGTAGCATCTGCAATCATCATTCACCAAACATTAGGTGTCACTATTATTGGTTATAATATAAAATGATCCAATATATTATACTCTAATACAAACAGAGTTATAGCATTTTAATACTTATGCAGTTAGATCTGATTCTTGCTGATAAAGGTAAATGGTTATTGAAACACGAATCTTATGTGTTAAAATTAGGATGCATGATATTCGTTACATGTATTCAATGAATGAGCTATGATTTTCTTTTAAGAGTCTTTCTAATGTTATATTTCATAATGGAAACTAATGTTAAGTCAAAGAATGACAGTTATAAATGCTACCATTCTCGAGGTGATGAGGGTTAAAGTTTTAAGGCCAATGGCCAAAATCAAGAGAACCGTAGATGAAGTGAGGTAAGAGTTCGATCCGAACGATGCGTTAAGTTCAACTCGAAATCGAACTTATCTGTTTTGCATAAAATAGAGAACATTTTGCTTTATTAGCATCACATTTTATGGTTAATGATCATAATTTACATCAGGAAAATTGCTTTTCATTGAAATGTCTCTTACAATACTTGCACAAAACTCAATCTAAGTTTCAAATATGACCTCGTTTTTCTCGAAAACTGTTGATTCAAGAAACTTTTTAATAACTCTAATGGACTCAGTTTTTATGTCCCTTAAAGCCCACGAAGTTTTAAATTAGTAGAAAGAGTATTAGCTCTAACTATTAGCAGTAAATGAGTCTATTAAAACCTATTAAGAGTCTATTATGTCTATTAAACATTTGCAAATGCAAGGAATAAGCTTTGTTTTACATCTAAAGCGATTTTAGTACTTTGTCTTTGAATTTAAAGCTTTTACTTTCGAGCCTCTCGACTTTTAGAGTTGCAAACTCTGTGGACTGTTAGAGACTTAAAAGCTAAGTCTATAAATCCTATCAAAAAGTTTCTCAGATCGATAGTTTACGAGAAAATCGAGATCAGATTTGAAACTTCGATCGCGTTTTGCTCCATTATGGAAGCAGATTATTTCATCAAACGCATATACAAGATGTAACTTTACTTGAATGACCAGAAAATGAAATTACTTTGAAAAATAAAGTTCCCTGTTTTATATAAAACCGATAAGTTCGATTTTTGGACAAACTGATCTATTTCAATGACCGAAAGACTTAGAGTGCTGAAACTTATTACTCACCTGTGACAATTGATTATATACATCATGGATCAAATGTTTTTGAAAATCTAATGGCAGTTCTCTTGATTTTAGCGATTGGTCTTGCAACTTTGGACCTCATTGTTTCGAGAATGGTAGCACTCACAATCATAATTCTTTGACTAAACATTAGGTTTCATTATGGGCTAGGATATCTCAAAATCTTTGATCAATAAAGATCATACAAAAATGTTATAGCATTATATTACTTATGATGTTAGATCTTATTCTTGATTTATAAAGCTAAATGGTTTGTTAAACACAAATCTTATAATGTGTTAAAGAATTTTATTATTAACACTCTAAATGAATAAGTTTAGATTTTCTTTAGCATTCACTCATATAATAATATAGCCCATAATAAGACCTAATGTTTGGGCAAAGAATTATGATGCTAGGGGCTACCATTCTCGAATTAATGAGGTTCAAAGTTTTAAGGCCAATGGCCAAAATCAAGAGAACTATCGATGAAATGAAAAAACCACATATTCCATGATATGTAGCACCCATTTTCATCGGCGAATAACAAATTTCAGCTCTTTAAATCTCATGGTCAAACAATGCGTTCGGTTTAACGGAAAATCGAAATTATTGGCTTTCCAGAAAACTTGGAATTTTATTTCTTAAAATAATCACATTTTCTGGTTGAATGTCAAAATCCACACAAAGTAAAATAAGTTGCATGAAATAATCTGCTTCCATAATGGAGCAAAACGCGATCGAAGTTTCAAATCTGATCTCGATTTTCTCGTAAACTATCGATCTGAGAAACTTTTTGATAGGATTTATAGACTTAGCTTTTAAGTCTCTAACAGCTCACAAAGGGTTCAACTCTTGGCTTGAAAGCAAAAGCTTTAAAGTCGAAGACAAAATATTGAAATCGGTTTGGATGAATTTGTTACAATGCAAATAAAATATTAAAGCAGTATTGAAACATAGAAGTCAAGATTCCAAAGGTTTGCATTGACATAAATATGTAATTAACTGATATCAATTGCTGAAATTTTATTAGAATACTGATCTTCACTATCAGGCAATACATTAATGGCAATTTTAGTTGACTAATTTACTTTTTATTAATAGCATCCAGCATAAAATATATAACTTGCATTTGCAAGTGTCAAAACATTTAAAGATCAATTCACTGCTAATATGAGTTAGTACTTTGTCTTTGATTTCAAACTTTTGTGAATTTCAGTGAAATGCAAATTGAGTCCATTAGTGTCAATAAAAACTTCCTCAGATCGATATTCCCCGAGAAAATCGAGATCGAATTTGAAACTTAGATTGCGTTTTATTCAATCATCAAAGAAGATTTTATAATATAAAAACATTTCACTAATTTCCCTTTTTATGATCAACCAGACAATGCAATTATTCTGAAAAATAAAGTTCCTTGTTTTATATAAAACCGATAAGTTCGATTTTTAGACAAACTGATCTATATCAATGACCGAAAGACTTAGAAAGCTCAAACTTATTATTCGCCACTCAAAATCGATGGTTAACGTCGAGGATCAAACGTTTTTTTCAATCTATGAACAGTTCTCTTTATTTTGGACATTTACCTGAAGAATTTGAGGGTCAATATTTCGAGAATGGTAGCCCCTAGAATCATAATTCTTTGACCAAACATTAGGTTTCATTATGGGCTATATTATTATATGAGTGAATGCTAAAGAAAATCTAAACTTATTCATTTAACATGTTAATAATGAAGTTCTTTTAACTCATTATAAGATTTATGTTTAAAAAACTATTTAGCTTTAAAAATCAAGAATGAGATAAAACATCATGAGTAATACAATGCTATAACTCTTTTTGTAGGATCTTTGATGGTCAAAGATTTCGAGTTCTCTTAGCCAGAAACGATACCTGATGTTTAGTCAAAGAATAGTGTTTGTAGATGCTACCATTCTCGAAATAATGACGTTTAAAATTTTAGGACTAATGGCCAATATCAAGAGAACTGTTCACAAATCGAAAAAAGCGTTTGATCCTCGATGTGTGCCATCAATTTTCAGCAACGAATAATAAGTTTCAGCACTCTAAGTCTTTCGGTCATTGAAATAGATCAGTTTGTCCAAAAATCGAACTTATCGGTTTTATATAAAACAGGGAACTTTATTTTTCAAAGTAATTTCATTTTCTGGTCATTCAAGTAAAGTTACATCTTGTATATGCGTTTGATGAAATAATCTGCTTCCATAATGGAGCAAAACGCGATCGAAGTTTCAAATCTGATCTCGATTTTCTCGTAAACTATCGATCTGAGAAACTTTTTGATAGGATTTATAGACTTAGCTTTTAAGTCTCTAACAGTCCACAGAGTTTGCAACTCTAAAAGTCGAGAGGCTCGAAAGTAAAAGCTTTAAATTCAAAGACAAAGTACTAAAATCGCTTTAGATGTAAAACAAAGCTTATTCCTTGCATTTGCAAATGTTTAATAGACATAATAGACTCTTAATAGTTTTAATAGACTCATTTACTGCTAATAGTTAGAGCTAATACTTTTTCTACTAATTTAAAACTTCGTGGGCTTTAAGGGACATAAAAACTGAGTCCATTAGAGTTATTAAAAAGTTTCCCGAATCAACAGTTTTCGAGAAAAACGAGGTCATATTTGAAACTTAGGTTGCGTTTTGCTACATTATGGAATTAGGTTTTTGCATGAAGCGCTTTTAACTGACGTATCTTTGCGTGAACAATCAGAAAATGCAATTATTCTGGGAAGTAAAGCTCTCTATTTTATGTAAAACCGATAAGTTCGATTTTCAATCAAACCTAACACTTTCAATTACGATAAGATTTAGAGAGCTAAAACTTATTATTTGGCTGTGAAAATCGATGGTACACATCCAGGATTGAACGTCTTCCTTGCTTCGTCGACAGCTCTCTTGATTTTGGCCATTGGCCTTAAAACTTTAACCCTCATTACCTCGAGAATGGTAGCATTTATAACTGTCATTCTTTGACTTAACATTAGGTTCCATTATGAAATATAACATGTGAAAGACTCTTAAAAGAAAATCATAGCTCATTCATTGACTAACGAATATCATGCATCCTAATTTTAACACATAAGATTCGTGTTTCAATAACCATTTACCTTTATCAGCAGAATCAGATCTAACAGCTTAAAATGTTATAATTTTTTCGTAGTAACTTAAGTTCAAATGCCAAATTTAAAGTATTCTAGTCTATTCTGAAACCTGATGTGCTACCATTATAATCTATTCATTTTATTCGATGATCTTAACTTTCTGATTATTTCTGATTTCGTTTTGAGATTTTTTTAATTTTGAGACACATGCTTATAAATTCTGAGTCAATTTTTCTATTGGAAAATATATGCAATAAAACTGCCCCAGTTTGCTCCGGGGACCTTATAATATCTTGAATACTTCAATAAAAGTGGATAAAGGTTTTGTTTATTTGTGAATTAATTGTCGATATATTGGATAAAACACAAGAATAAGCTCCAAAAACTGACTCTGGTTTGCTGAGCTTTATAATCGTCTGAAAAAAAGTGTAGAGAGTTAATCGAATGCGGAAACTTATCATTAAATTTTTGTAAATAATGGCTGGAATTTATTTCTGATATTGATCACATCAACGTTTATTTAAAGTTATAAAATCTTCTTAATTTGATACAGATAAAAGTTGAAACACATAAATAATTATGTAACAATACAAAAGTTTTACAATAAAATCTTTAATTATTCAAGTTCAAAATACCGCCAGTTAATTCAATTGGACATTTGTTTCGGCTTAGCCAGTGAGAACAGCTGAGAGAGAGAAGAGTGAGCTGACGGGTTTTTGTAAACATTATCAGCTCTTGACAAAGTTTAATAGTAGAAGTTCCTTGTATTCGATGTTTTTTGGTAAATTTGCCAAATCAGTCAACTTTCATCTGCTAAGCAAAATGCAACAATCAACTTTAGTAAAGAAAATCTGTACTCATAATGGCGTATTTCATTGTGACGATGTTTTAGCTTGTTTCTTGTTGAAACAATTGCCGGAATATAAAGATTCGCCTATTATTAGAACCCGTGATCCAAAAGTGATCGAAGAATGTGATATTGTAGTGGATGTTGGTGGTGTTTATGATCACAGTAAATGTCGATATGATCATCACCAACGTGATTTCAACTTTACTTTGAACAAATTGGATCCTCAAAAGCCATTTGATATAAAACTAAGTTCAGCTGGGTTAGTTTATTATCATTATGGACGTACAATTATTAATAACATATTAGAACAACAAGGTCTATTCGATTCTGAAGATAAATATCAAACTGATATACTTTTTGATACTATTTATGAATCATTTATTCAAGAAATTGACGCCATTGATAATGGAGTTAGTATATGCGAAGGTAAACCAAGATATACCATAAACTCTGATCTAAGCACACGTGTTGGTCATTTAAGACCCCATTGGAATGAAGAATCTACGAATGAAGTTTTATATGAAAGGTAAATACTAATGAGAGCAACATATACTCTATTAAATTTTCTCTTAATCTCTTAACTCTTTGTAAAAGTGATTGAATTTATTGATGAATCTAACGAAATTCATTTCCTAAAATTTTCTAGATTCCAGAAAGCTATGGACTTGGTTGGTCAGGAGTTTCATGAAAGGGTCAGTTATTATAGTAAAGTTTGGTATCCTGCTAAAAAATATGTAAAACAAGCTGTGAGGGATCGTAAAACTGTGCATCCCTCTGGAACAATAATTGATTTAAGTCTCAATGGAGGTTTACCATGGAAAGAGCATTTATTCGCCGTGGAAAAAGAAATGGACATTGTCGGAGAGATAAAATTCGCCATATTCCAAGATCTCAGCAAAGATTGGAGAGTGTGCTGTGTTCCTATATTCGCCAAATCGTTTACTCTGAGAACCCCTCTTCATATTGAATGGCGAGGTTTAAGGGATGAAAAGTTGTCCCAAGTTAGCGATATTCCTGATTGCATATTTGTCCATGCTACAGGTTTCATTGGTGGAGCTCGAACTAGAGAAGCTTGTGTTGCAATGGCAGTAAAAACTCTAGATTTAGCAGCAAAGGAAGAGTCGAAAGAGTAAACATAGTATTCTCTTACGAATCGTTAATGAAGAGAACTTACTGATGGTTCGAGCATATTAAGATTTTAAGCTGTTTCACGATCTGGACGTCAGTTCTATACGCATTTGAATTACTGCTTTTCACAATTGACTCTAATTTTGTGATATAGACATTTAATATGATTAAAGATGAGATTTGTATAACAAACAAGATCAAAATTGTAAAATATAATTAATCGCTGATGTTATTTTAAAAAACTTTCAAAAAATATCCACCAAGAATCATTGGACAGCAATTGGACTTTTTTTTCTTTGGCTCTCGTGAACTTGAAATACATTACACTTGCACTGGATAATCGATGCCTATTGAAATGTAGATAAAAATTGTTCGATTGAGGGTAGCGCAGCATAAATAGCAATACATTTGGTAGACTTGAATAAATCGAACATTGTGAAGATCAAAGCAAACCAGAAAATGTCACCAATTTTTACTGACGATCGTTTGAGTTAGTCCTGTAAGTTGTGGACCAATCAATGGATTCATCTGAGCCATGTAAGTGAATAGCCAAAGTGCGTAACAGCTAACCGCAGTCATTATTACCATTGTTTGAATCACTCCTCTGTCAGATGATCTAGGTATAAACATAGGAACAACACCACCAATTGCGGCCCAAAAAGCTGTGAATATTACCAAAACAGCAACTGAGGCTCCCATTGTAAAACCTTTGACAACTGAAAAACTGAAGATACCAAAAATAATGGAATATTAACCAGATAAACGTAATAACAAATTTAAGATAAGCAAATAATTACACTTACCTTAAAACAATTGAAATAATAAATTGGAAATTTAACCACAGAAAATAACCTTGCAGATAAATAATCAGAGTTAAATGCACTGCATTTAATGCAGTAGGCCGATAAAACTTGTAAAGTAACCAAGGCTGCAAGATTTCAAACAACGCGCGATCTACAAAAAATTAAACTAACGTCAATATTTAATAAAGCCAAATAATTTAAATGTTATAATTTAATTCGGTCAATTTTCGTTTTCTAACAATAAAGGGACGTATTTGTGTGCCATATGTAATTTAACATTGTCCTAACTCTGTAAAATTCTGGATTATCATCATTTAATATATTTTCGTTTTTCATCTTTGAATTTTTCTGTTTCCTCACTTGTTACTCTCGAGACTAATAAGACATATTTCCAATAACTATGCCAGACTATAAAATAAGTAAATTGTTCGTGATTTAGTTCTGTTTTTTTGCCATACAGCAACTTATTTTTGAATCCATAGGTTGAACGCATGGAAATCTTCAAATTTATTACAAGGAAGCTCAGAAGAAAGATTTGGCTGAAACAGCTCATGGAGAAATGAGAGATACATTTACTAGTTCAAGTAAACAGATAAGCCTTATCCAAATAAATGAGAAGCATGCACTTTCACCCCTTGAACTCGTAAAACTCATTCAAAGTTGCTATCCACCTGGAAGGCCTAATCCAACTCAACTGAAAAATCTTAAATCTGCTTATTTTCTCCAATATTTAAAATATCAATATTCAGTACCTCGAGGTTTGTTTAATGCATATTTTGTTGGTTGAATTGGACAAGAATCTAGATTTTGGGCTGCTCTTAATCAAGCAATGTTTTATCTACATTTTAATATCACCTACTAGTACTTCCGCCAAATTATTAATATCAATTTTTGTACATATTTTTTAGGAGGATACCAAACTCTACTATAATAACTGACTCTTGTATGAAATTCCTGACCAACCAAAACCAAAGCTTGCTGGAACCTAGAGAATTTTAGAAAATTGTAGATCGCAGATTTACACTAAATTCAATCACTGCATAAAGAGTTATGAGAAAATTTAATAACGTATATTGCTTTCATTAGTAGTTACCTTTCATATAAAACTTCATTCGTTGCTTCTTCATTCCAATTTGGTCTTGAATGACCAACACGTGTGCTTAGATCAGAGTTAATGGTATATCTTGGTTTACCTTCACATATACTAACTCCATTATCAATGGCGTCAATTTCTTGAATAAATGATTCATAAATAGTATCAAAAATATAAGGGTCTTGAAAATCAATTGGCTGTCTGGATGAATGTGGATCTAGTCATGAATAGTTCAACATGAACATGGTCTAGAAACGCATTCATCCAGTCAAAGTGTCCAGTATGGGATAAAAATGACGTTGATGAGGTATGAAAGAGTACAGAAAAAAAACGTAAATGAATGGAGATGAAGAAACCCACAGAGACAAAGAAAGAAAGATGGAAATGATGATGATTATTACCAACTAAATTCTTGGTAAAACTCTCCCGCCAACATGCCTGAGCTCACTAATTTCTCTCTCTCTCTTTCCTTCTCTCTTCTCTCTGCTCTCTGCTCACTTTGCTTGCTCCTCCTCATAACTCCACTCCTTAGCACTTCTTTTCCATCTTTCTTTTCTTTTTTTCAACTCTCTCCCTCTCGGGTTCATTGTTGTTTCATAGTTATTTGAATGGGTCAACAGAAAAACTTGTTTTTCAGGTAACTTTTTTATCGGTTTTCTTTATACTTTTTGGCTCCACCAAACTCCACAATAGTAGTCATCTTCCCAAAAACCGGTTCTTCCAGAAACAACGTGGAGAAAAATGAAAACCGGTTTTGCCTCCTTTTGACCCGATCATCGATATAACTATTCAAATTATTCGTTATAATTCACATAGAAGAGTTGTAAAGAGTTCAAATACAGGTACAGAAAGTTTTAATTCTGTTAATTTTTACGTTTCTTACTTGTTGTTTGCTGCTTCTAGATAATGTGCAAAAGCAATCTCACGTCGGGTAGACAGTCCAAAGGCAGTAATAAAGACTTAGAGATTAAATTATCAGGCCAAATTTGTATCCGGGTAGAGCAATTTTAAGACCAAATTTATACTTTCGAACCATTTCCAAAGCCTCAAAAAAGAGTTTCCACAAAAGAGTCAAAAACATTTCCTTGCATGATCATCATTTTGAATTGAGTATGAAACTAGCCCCTTGATGATATTGCGGTGACTTTAGGAGGTCTGACAAATAGTAAAAGCTTCATCACGCCTTTTTTGTTTCAGATAAAGCTCAGCTGATCGTAGTGCTGCTTCAGTTTCATCATAGAGGCTAATCTTTTTTATATAATTTTCAGCTTTTGACCATTCATCTTTCAGGTAATAATGTTCGAATTGGATTTCTGCTAAGGCAAGCTCCCATATTGAGTTGGTATTAGTTTGATAAAACGAAAAAAGATTTGCGGCCAATGAAGTGATCATATCTCGAGCCAAATTGTAATGTCCCAAGTTTCTCCATAGATGCAAGGCGATATTCCTAATGGCAATACAAGTGTTTTCATTAACACGATAGACTAAACCATCGCCAACATGTTGAACTAGATGCAAATCAAGTAAAGCTTGTGAATAAAGTAGAGTTAAATGAGTTGCTCCAAGGGTTGCATGTTGACCACTTCGTGTTGCATAACTCATCATGAGAATTTCTGGAAGTGAATATCTAACAGCTAATATTTCTGGATTTGCTGAAACAATTGTTATTTCACCTGTTTGAGATTCAGTTAACGGAGCGCCATCTTGAGGCGCTTGTAGGACCAACAAACGCCTCCGAATATTTATATCGTATTATATGATTATCTATTATCAGTGAATTTGTATCTCATTTCTCCATGAGCTGTTCCACTCATATCTTTCTTCTGAGCTTCCTTGTGATATATTTGGAGATTCTCATAAACTTGAGCTGTCCCAATCAAGTGCGAGCGATCCACAAAACCGACATTTTCTCAAAAATATACCCAAGTATTAATAATAATATTAGTTGTTAATTCACAAAGACCATGAGTTGAGAAATTAGAAGTCAAGTACAGCAGTTACTTATTTTCTACCAAATCGAGATATTCATAAGAATAATTAACGTAAAAGATGAGTTGTCAAGAAGCAGGAATAGAAAAGGACGTCATTAGATACAAGTTTTAGGCATGAACATAAACAAAAACAATAAACAAAATCACTTAACTTAATAAATAATTAGTAAACATCCAAATCCAAAATTAAACATATGATACTCATGAAACAAAAGGTAGATTAAAAATTTGCTAGTTTACCGCCAAACTAGAGCTTACAAATCTATCGACCATCGAAACAACTATCGGCTCAAGAAAATCATTTACAAAGGCCACAATTTAACATTAATCTAAAATTAATTGTTAAATAAATTTAAAGATTTACTTCCTGAAAATAAAAACATCAGTTTCGGGATTTCATTATTGAATTCAGCGCGATCTCAACATTTGATGTCACAAAAGGGTTGAAGATCTCCATGCGTTCAACCTAAGGATTCAAATCAAGTTGCTGTATGGCAAAAAACAGAACTAAATCACGAACAATTTACTTATTTCAGAGTTTGGTATAGTTATTGGTCTTATGAAATATGTCTTATTAGTCTCGAGAGTAACAAGTGAGGCAACAGAAAAATGCGTAATCAAAGATGAAAAACGAAATTATATTTAATTGATTATAATTCAGAATTTTACAGAGTTAGGACAATGTTAAATTTCATATGGCACACAGATATGTTTCTTTATTGTTAGGAAACGAAAATTGACCGAATTAAATTATAACATTTAAATTATTTGGCTTTATTAAATATTGACGTTAGTTTAATTTTTTGTAGATCGCGCGTTGTTTGAAATCTTGCAGCCTTGGTTACTTTACAAGTTTTTTATCGGCCTAATACATTTAACTCTGATTATTTATCTGCAAGGTTATTTTCTGTGGTTAAATTTCCAATTTATTATTTCAATTGTTTTAAGGTAAGTGTAATTATTTGCTTATCTTAAATTTGTTATTACGTTTATCTGGTTAATATTCCATTATTTTTGGTATCTTCAGTTTTTCAGTTGTCAAAGGTTTTACAATGGGAGCCTCAGTTGCTGTTTTGGTAATATTCACAGCTTTTTGGGCCGCAATTGGTGGTGTTGTTCCTATGTTTATACCTAGATCATCTGACAGAGGAGTGATTCAAACAATGGTAATAATGACTGCGGTTAGCTGTTACGCACTTTGGCTATTCACTTACATGGCTCAGATGAATCCATTGATTGGTCCACAACTTACAGGACTAACTCAAACGATCGTCAGTAAAAATTGGTGACATTTGTTTGTTTACTGATTCGCCTTGAGCCTCACAATGTTTGATTTATTGAAGTCTACCAAATGTTAATCTTGAAGTATTATTTATTTACCTTTTTATTTTGAATGTTAACCAAGAGTTGCCATAACTGAGTCATTAAATTTTTCATTAAAAATGATTATTTAATCGCTATTTTTGCTGAGTTACCTCAATCGAGCAATAGTTTATCTACATTTCAATCGTCATCGCTTATCAAGTTTTTTCAAGTCCACGAGGGCCAAACAAGAAAAATCTAGCATTTAATCTGCTATTGGTCCCCAACTCACAGGACTAACTCATACAATCGTCAGTAAAAATTGGTGACATTCGCTTTTGGTTCTGACAATATCTTATCGATTGGCGTGTACTAAATATATTGCTATTTTTGCTGGGTTACTCTCAATCTAGAAATGTTTTATCTATATTTCAATCGGTTTCGCTTATTCAGTTCAAGTGGTTAAAATGTACACAGCGTGTATTTCAAGCTCACGAGAGCCAAACAAGAAAAAAGCCTAGAATTTAATTGATAAAAAGGTGTTGAGATTTGAGAGCTCAAGATTGTTATTTAGCAAAATTATTCCCTTTTCTGAGTTTGCTCTAGTTGCTAGGATTGAAACGAGATTTTATAAATAATGATTTATATCAATATTTTCTCGCAAAACAAAACTTGGCTATCCAACGAGTCATGGTGGAAAAGTTTAAAAGTTTTTTAAAACAATATAGTCGATTAATTATAAAATATTTAACAATTTTTAATCTCGTTCGTCATAAAAATCATAATAAATGTCAGTATCATTCGTTTTATGTCTTTACAGCATTCTCCTCATCTGGTACTTACAGTAATATCAGATGTGTCGAAATGTGTAAAACGACTGAAACTACATTTTGGCTTCTGAGTCTGTAGTTAGTAATTGAATCACAAAATTAGAAACAATTGTGACAGAAGCAATTCAAATAAGTGAAGAACTGGAGTCCAAATCGTGAAACAAGCTTAGAATCTTTGAGCTTGAATATATGCTTGAGCCACCAGTAAGTTCTCTCAACAACGCTTCGGAAGAGAATACTATGTTTACTCTTTCGACTCTTCCTTTGCTGCTGAATCTAGAGTCTTTGCTGCCATTTTAGCACATGCTTTTCTAGTTCGAGCTCCACCAATGAAACCTGTAGCATGGACAAATATGCAATCAGGAATATCACTAACTTGTGACAACTTTTCATCCCTTAAACCTCGCCATTCAATATGAAGAGTTGTTCTCAGAGTAAACGATTTGGCGAATATAGGAACACAGCACACTCTCCAATCTTTGCTGAGATCTTGGAATATGGCGAATTTTATCTCTCCAACAATGTCCATTTCTTTTTCTACGGCGAATAAATGCTCTTTCCATGGTCCACCTCCATTGAAACTCAAATCAATTATTGTTCCTGAGGGATGCACAGTTTTACAATCGCTCACAGCTTGTTTTATATATTTTTAGCAGGATACCAAACTTTACTATAATAACTGACTCTTGTATGAAATTCTTGACCAACCAATAACATAGCTTTCTGGAACCTAGAGAATTTTAGAAAATGAGTTTTGTAGATTTGTCACTAAATTCAATCACTTTATAAAGAGTTAACAGATATAGAGAAAATTTAATAGAGTATGAATGTCTTTCATTAGTAGTTACCTTTCATATAAAACTTCATTCGTTGCTTCTTCATTCCAATTTGGGTTTGAATCAATTGGTTGCCTGGATGAATGTGGATCTAGTCATGAATAGTTCAACATGAACATGGTCTAGAAACGCATTCATCCAGTCAAAGTGTCCAGTATGGGATAAAAATGACGTTGATGAGGTATGAAAGAGTACAGAAAAAAAACGTAAATGAATGGAGATGAAGAAACCCACAGAGACAAAGAAAGAAAGATGGAAATGATGATGATTATTACCAACTAAATTCTTGGTAAAACTCTCCCGCCAACATGCCTGAGCTCACTAATTTCTCTCTCTCTCTTTCCTTCTCTCTTCTTTCTATTCACTTGCTCCTCCTAATCAACCCCACTCCTTAGCTCTTCTTTTCCATCTTTCTTTTCTTCTTTTCATCTCTCTCCCTCTTTCGGGTTCATTGTTGTTGAATGTCTTACCTTGAATGTACATGTAGTTATTTCGATGGGTCAACAGCAAAACTTGTTTTTCAGGAAACTATTTCATCGGTTTTCTTTATACTTTTTGGCTCCACCAAACTCCACAATAGTAGTCATCTTCCCAAAAACCGGTTCTTTCAAAACGGGTAGAAGAAATGAAAACCGGTTTTGCTTTCTTCTGACCCGATTATCGATATAACTATTCAAATTATTCGTTATAATTCGCATAGAAGAGTTGTAAAGTGTTCAAATACAGGTACAGAAAGTTTTAATTCTGTTAATTTTTTACATTGATTTTACAGAAATTTGTATAGAAAAAAAATAATTTCACGTTGAAAATAGTTTTCTAACTTGTTGAGCATAAAAGTTTCTTTTTTCATAATCTTTTTTCTCATTATAAAGCTGGGCATGAAGTGAATAGGCTTTACGACAGTATTCTCTGTCTTCTATTTGGCGATATATAGAAATGGCGGTTTCATTTGAGGCTAATGCGGAATCAAGATCACCAAATGATCGACAATTCAATGCTTCTAAATAATGTGCGAAGGCAATTTCACGTCTGGTAGCATATCCCAAGACAGTAATAAAGACGCTACGAAGAAGACTCAGAGATTTGGTTTTTTGGCCGAATTTGTACTCAAGTCGAGCAATTTCAAGAACACATCTTGTTTCTAAAAGACCATATTTGTACTTTCGCACAATTTCCAAAGCCTCAAAAAGAGTTTCAAAGTCATTTAAAACATTTCCTTTCATAATCATTATTCTTGTTTGAGTATAAGGGGTTAGTTGGTGATATTTTGGTGATTTTTGGAGGTCTGACAAAATAGTAAAAGCTTCATCACGCCTTTTTTGTTTCAGATAAAGCTCAGCTGATCGTAGTGCTGCTTCAGTTTCATCATAGAGGCTAATCTTTTTTATATAATTTTCAGCTTTTGACCATTCATCTTTCAGGTAATAATGTTCGAATTGGATTTCTGCTAAGGCAAGCTCCCATATTGAGTTGGTATTAGTTTGATAAAACGAAAAAAGATTTGCGGCCAATGAAGTGATCATATCTCGAGCCAAATTGTAATGTCCCAAGTTTCTCCATAGATGCAAGGCGATATTCCTAATGGCAATACAAGTGTTTTCATTAACACGATAGACTAAACCATCGCCAACATGTTGAACTAGATGCAAATCAAGTAAAGCTTGTGAATAAAGTAGAGTTAAATGAGTTGCTCCAAGGGTTGCATGTTGACCACTTCGTGTTGCATAACTCATCATGAGAATTTCTGGAAGTGAATATCTAACAGCTAATATTTCTGGATTTGCTGAATCGTCAACAATTGTATAAATCCTATCTAAATCATAAGTAGGACCAACAAGCGCCTCAAGATGGAGACACGCTATAGCTGAAAGATGAGGCAAATCCAAGCTGGTTGCTTTAGTTTTTAAGTGATGTAAAAATCTAAGAATATCTTCATCAGAATAAGTTGGATCTTTCCGATTTATGATAATTTTGGCGATCAGAAGAAAAGCAAACTCGAGACATCTTTCGTCATTTGCTTCTTGTGAACTTGATATACATTCCATAACACTTGCCATGGCTAAGCGATGTCGATTGAAATGTAGATAAAACATTGCTTGATTAAGAGCAGCCCAACATCTCGATTCTTGATCAATATAACCATCAAAATATGCATTAAGAAAATCTCGAGCTGCTGAATATTCATTAAGACGAAGATAATTCAAATATTGTAGAAAATAAGTAGATTTAAGATTTTTCAGTTGAGTTGGATTAGGTCTTCCAGGTGGATAGCAACTTTGAATGAGTTTTACGAGTTCAAGGGGTGAAAGCGCTTGTTTCTCATTTATTTGGATAAGGCTTATCTGTTTGCTTGGATTATTAAATTTATATCTCATTTCTCCATGAGCTGTTTCACCCATATCTTTCTTCTGAGCTTCCTTGTAATATATTTGAAGATTCTCATAAACTTGAGCCGTCCCCATAAAGTCCAAGCGATCCATAAAAACAGACATTTTTCTCAAAAATAGACCCAAAATGGAAGTTTTGTTGATTTCACAAAGACCATGAGCTGAGAAACCAGAACGTCCAGCAGTTACAAAATTCTTAGTGTTTCCTACCAAATCAATGATTGCTCCAACATCTTCATTAACCAGATTGGCCATTTTTTCCTCAAAAACTTGAAGCAAGTCTTTTTTGAATCCTGATTTAAACAGAAATGATCTTAAATGCGAATAACTGAGCTCTAAACCAAGGATTAATTTCATCAGGATGATACAAAACCGTCCGACTTCCCGTTGAGGCAGTTCACATCGATTGGCAAATAAAATAGTGCCCAGTAAAGTGATAGATATTTTATGTGGAGTTATGTGGAAGTCAATTGACTGATCATTTGAATTGGCAGGATTTTTCTCCATTATTCCAAGTTATTTCAAGGAACACGATATTCATAAACAATAATTAAATTAAAAGATGATTTATCAAGAAGCAGGAATAGAAAAGGACGTCATTAGATACAAGTTTTTGCATGAACATAAACAAAAACAATAAACAAAATCACATAACTTAATAAATAATTAGTAAACAACCAAAAGCAAAATTAAACATATGATACTCTTGAAAGAAAAGGTAAATTGAAAATTTGCTAGTTTACCGCCAAACCAAGGCTTCCAAATAATTTCAATCTATCGACCATCGAAACAACTATCGGCTCAAGAAAATCATTTACAGAGACAACAATTTAACATGAATCTAATATTAATTGTTAAATAATTTTAAAGATTAACTTCCTGAAAAAAGAACCATCAGTTTCGAAATTTCTTTATTGCAAATCACCGAGATTTCAACATTTTTTATCAATCAAAGAATGATAATTTGAACTTTGAAAAATAATTAACTTGCTAAGCTGAGAGTTAACTTTGTATCCAATTTCATGGTTGATCACAATTTAGATAAATTCTTGTACTTTATTAATAACAATTATGATAGTTTTAATGAACATTGTGCAACCATTGGTAATACCAATCAATTTGATAATGTTCAAAGCGTTTATCATGACAATAAAAAAGTAAAATAAACATTGAATAATCTAAACTAATATTAGTATACAAGTTAATCATCAAAAGAAAGGATATTGAGCCCTACAGCTGATAAAATTTACTAAATTATACAACAATTAAGCCATTGTAACAATACAAATAATGAATAGTAAGAGTGTTTGACTTAGGTGTCTATTTGGTTTATATTTCGGTTTCGCTGAAAAGGTAAACATAAGGGAAAGTCGAGACATTATTGAATAAAAATGTAAGTATATTTAATTTACTAATTGACGAGCAATGTGACTTATTGTTAGACTAATTGTCAGACTGTAGATACTTCCAATTAACCATGTGATGATGAGTATGTTTCAAATCATGTTTGATTGTGACAAATTCACAAAGTCAATGCAATCAAAAAAAACAGCAGCAAAATTGAAGTGAATTCAAGGTGAACATTGAATCAGTAAGGTTTAGTTTAATGGAAAAAATTGCATTTTTTTCATTTTGATTATTTCACAATGTAAAGATTAACTTGTAAATAAGACTTAATCTGACCATAATTTAAGATGCAATCCAATGTAATTAATCTAAATGTTACCGAAAAGGGAAAATTATCTCTCAATTCCCCTCAACCAAGAAGTTAGCTGAAATACCAACCAAATTGTCGATGGTAAAGCAAAAAGTGACATATAAAACCAGACTTGAAAAGTGTAGGAAGTCCCATGTTGATTGTGGTTAAATTGTGACCGATAATTTTATAGCTTCGCTGCTGGTTATAGTGATGATGAAAAAAAAGGTCTGACTGAAATGAATTTTAAAAACCAGAATCTTAACTCAGCATCGATGACTATTGGAAAAGTATTGGGAAACGATTATAAATGTTTGTGAAGAAAAGGAAAGGAGAAATGACTTCTATTGTTGATTCTAATTAAGAGAGTTGTGATTGTTATTCCGATTGCTTTTTTTAATGGTTATATTGATTATAAATGTTACATCGGGAGAGCCTCAAACTTACACACCTTTCTTACTGATCATCATCATCTGTGATACTCGAATATATGTGTATTATCATCATCATCATTATCAAAAATAACAAGCAAAAAAGCTAAAGCATGAAAAGCTAAATGAGTCTGTCTGAAGTTTCCTCTTGAAACTTACCTTACCCAAGGAAGCCAATAGCTCTGAGTCTGCCTAAATTTTGACTATCTATCTGTCTTCCTAATCATCCTGATCATCCTAAACCTCTTTCTTTTTCTCTTTCTGCCTATCTCATTTAGATTTCACTGAATTTCACTTCGCACTTTTAAACCTTTGCCTTTTACCATTTGCTTCATTGTTGATCATCTTCTTCATCTTCATTTTTTTTACATCACCTTCCCTCCTTCCACTCTCTCCTTTCATCTTTTTATCTCCCTTTCTCTCTCTATCTCTCTCTCTCACCCACTCATAAACACACAGACCTTCTCACCCAGACACACTCTCTCTTTCCATGTTGATTAATTCGTCATCAAACCACCAGCATCTTCATTCACCAATGTGAATGGTGAATGTTAACGCAAATACGGTTCAACTGTAAAAAAAGGTAATAATAAGCAATTAATATATTGAACATGCAAAATAAGAGATTGAACAACGTTAATCAAATATATTTTGTAACAACTCATTCACAATTTCATCATTCCTCGTAATAATTAACCAATTTTTTTGTGCGTGCTCCTTATATCTTTCTTTATCAATCTCTCTTTTTTTCCTCTTCACCTTTCACCGTTTGTTTTTTGAATTATTGTGTTTTTTGTTCAAGTGTAACATTTCGTAATTAAATTAAAATAACTCACCATGTCCGAAACAAAGGAATACAGTCCAATTCCAACAGCAGAAAATGTTGAGGAGGGAATTAAAAGCTCACCCAGCAGTGTTAATGAACCATTGAATGGTGTTAAAGGTTCGAGCAAAATGTCTGATGATATTGTTTGCCTTAAGCCTAAAATGTCCCTTTTGAATGGATGTACTGTTATTGTTGGAAGTATAATTGGATCAGGAATATTTGTATCACCAAAAGGAGTCCTCAAATCAACTGGATCAGTGGGGTTATCGCTGGTGGTTTGGGTCGCATGTGGTATTTATTCATTAATTGGTGCCTATTGTTTTGCTGAATTGGGTTGCATGATTACCAAAAGTGGTGCTGATTATGCTTATATAATGGAATCATTTGGTTCCTTCATGGGCTTCCTTCGTTTATGGGTAGAGTGTATAATTGTGAGACCATGTTCACAAGCAATTGTTGCCAGAACCTTTGCCATCTATATTTTGAAGCCATTATTTCCTGATTGTGATCCACCGGAGGCAGCAACTGGTTACCTTGCTGTTGTATGCATCGGTAATTATCATTGTAATAATAATTATACCAAATGAACCATTTTGTTATATTTAAAGACACAATATAAATAGTTAATATTGGTCAAGGTAGAACAAGAAAACTGCAGATCCCTGGCTATGGCTCGTAATGTTGCTTGGATTGTTTCCTTAGTCTCTGAATTATTTTTCACAGTCTGTTGTACGAAAAAATAATGCTAATGAACGTTCACACTCAAGTTATTATTAGTTAAACCAGGAAAATGAATGAAATATGCCTGCTTAAGCCAAAGCTTGTTTCCCATTGAGAGATTCACGTTTTCAGGCTAGCTAAAGTACACTTTGCCATATTAAATGAAAACGTAGCTCATCTTTTTTTCTCATCTTCACCATCTTCCACTTTACTCCTAAGCATCATCATCTGCAAATCTAAGTTTAGAAATAAGAAGAAATCATCAGTTGACTGTTAGATCTTGTAACAAACAATACTATTGAGAAATACGGTTAATTTATTAACATGCGAAAAAACATGAGTAGAACACACATTAATAATACTAATGATAATTTGTCATTCAATTAAACAAACAGGGCTACTTACATTTGTTAACTGCTGGGACGTCAAATGGTCAACACGAGTCCAAGATTTTTTCACCTATGGCAAACTATTGGCTTTAGCATTTATCATAGGAACTGGAATCTACCAAATATCTCTTGGTCACACTGAACATTACAATTTTGATAACTCGGAGACCAAAATTACGAAGATAGCAGCTTCTTTTTATTCTGGTTTATTTGCATACAATGGATGGTAAGATATTGATACAAAAAAAAACAAACAATTAATCCCTAAAAGAAGCCTTTTATTTATCGCAAAAAATCTATTAGATCGCCATCTATCGTTTTTATCAAACGAAACGGTCAATCCTTTGATTTAGGTAAATGTGTTTATTTAAGTGTCATCAGTTCAATATTATTAACCTTTTACTTTATCCAAAATAACTTACGGTTTTTGCGATAAATGGAAGCCTCATCATTATCAGCATCATCATCCTTATTCTTCCTTCCTTCCTTTTCCCTTCTTATAACCATATAATGTTTCAAAGGAAAAGCATTTACCAACAGCAAAAACTATCAACAACAAAAAAAAACCTGATAAACCTAACTGTCTATTTATGCAGTTTAACCCAAAATATCGATCAAAAGTGAACCCTCTTTTGGGTTACATTGGTTTAAATGTTCTTGATTTATTAGCTAGTTAACCTGATCTACTACAAACCGACAAAAAAAGTGAATTGTGATTTCATTAACTCTAATGTTGTTACTTTTTGTGTTGTCCTCTTCATTTACATATTTTTCTATTTATAGATAAACCTTTCATGTGATACTATTATGAAGTTTATTTCCCTTGCTTGAATTTTTTTCATCTGATTTTCTCAGAATTTATTCAATCACAAGATGATCTTGCGTCACTTGATCCAACAATTGGAAAAGGTTACCATTTGATTGTTTTAAGAGTTATATTATTAAGATGTTTATCCTCATTTTTCCCTCTCCTATTTGTTTCTTTGGTTGCCGGTCCTTTGAACATTATTCACTTTCCATTATCAACAATTGAATCCTCTTTTTTCCTTGATTTCCCCACCATCAATTGGATTAATTTATTCCCTTTTGTTTTTTTATATTTACAGGAATTATCTTAATTTTGTCATTGAGGAGCTTAAGGAACCCCATAAGTAAGTCAAATTTAATTTTTTTATTGCCATAATTAACATTTGTTAGCACTCTCGGCTCGTAATGTTATATCCTGATAGACGAAAATGACCCTTAAATTGGAGCAAAGCCTTTTAGTTCAATCAACTCTGGTTTACCCATGAACATCATTCAATATTCATTTTCGTCAACCCAACATATTCGTAAATCAATCATCAGATATCACTGCGACAATTTATCTGTTTCAAACCTTTACATCATCGTTGAAATATCAAACCTTTTAACATTTTAATGATTTGCCATTTATAACTCAATGGTTTGATTGCGGTATAATTGAGAGGTTAGCTTTTGTTGTTCACTTTACACTCAACTGATCTTGGTTGATCTTGATCAGTTTGCCGATCATTTCAAGTGTGTTTGTGTGATAACGATTGTGACGATTGTCAACATTAATAACCTTTCCAACAAGCAATTGTAAAATTATTGAAACCTTTTACTCTACATTTCATTCATAACAACGAGTCTTCTTCAATGGACAAACATATCTTCCTAATTATTTCTTTCCATGAAATAACAATGAAATAACGTGAATGAATTGTCTGGTAATAAAAGTTTGATTAGTGTCTTAGCTAATGATTAACACATAACGAGTTTTGCACTTAATAAGCATTTTTATCGCCAATTCTTGTTGCAATTGGTTTATTGTGAAGTCGATAAATTGTTAATATGTTAACACTCAATTAGCCTGAAATCAGGTTGTTAATTTGATCAAATTGTGATTATTTCCATACTTTACTAGACAACACTTGATGAACCAAGATTTTACGGAAAGTCAACCATTCAAATCTCAATTGTAACCAACTTTTGACTCAAGTAACAATCAACAATCTTAGTCAACAATTTTCAAACATTAACTGGTAATAATTTAAACATTGAGTTAGGTGTTTCAAATTTTGGTTAAAACCAGAAAATGTAAAGCTATTTTTTGTCATGTAATTTATTTATGAGATGACATTTTTTGCAAAGGTTTTGCTTGAGTTTTAATTACAGTTGATTGGCAATTGAAACCATAAAAAAAGATGAAAATGAACATTCAATAGTTAGATCACACCTTAAGAAATTGAGTTTGCCGTGAAAGGAAAAGCTAACGATTTTAAAATGTTAATTAAACCTTTAGAGCTGTCAGTAAAATAATGATTTGATTCCAGAATCATCACCAGTTTGGGTAAGATATACCTTGAAATGGGCGATCAATCAAAAGATTATCTATCTTAAATTCATCTTAAACTATCGAGTATTTGTTTCCATATTTCTTGTGCTTTCAGGTTAAATAACATGTTGATAGATCTTTGAATGATGATGATTAACTTGAGGGTTATAACGATGTTCACCTAAATACAGTTGAAACAATTTTAGCTATCAATCCAAGTCTACTGTTATGCTAAGTACAAAAATGTTTAGTATTTTTATTGATACCAATTTTATTTACATATAACATAATGATAATGTAATTTCCATGACTACCAATTGTTAAGCTTAATCTTATTGAAATAATTCAGCAATTAACATAAACAACTTATCAGTCTTGGTTGCACTCGGAAATACAATCAACCCAAACTAACCTTTTTAACCTGTTGACATTTAACCAGTTTTTTGTCACAGCTGTTTGGGTTTACTTACATCTTTTTAGGTTTAACTGTTTGATCATTTTGAATTTTGTTGACTTGATTTAGTCCATTCTGTTGATTTAAATTATAAACTATTTGATTATAACCGGTGAACCATCATTGAGATGAATTGTCAACAACATTGTCAGTAATCAATATACACTTATTTAACCAGTTACCATGGAGCTTGTTGGTTCATTGTATTGATTATTGATCGATTCTGGCTTCATGATTCTTCAAGAATCTTGATCTTTTTCAGGTTAAGATGTACTGAAATCAAATGATGCCAATTATGGTTGAATATACATTGAAACTGAACAACCTGAGAGATTCTTGAACAAGCTGACAAATTGCTTTCAACTTACTTTTTGTTCAACTATCTGTTGCTTTGCCACTCTTCAAGTGATTTTATTAGCTTTTTTGTTTCTTTCATCCATTATTATTATAATTGAAACAAATTAAGACATCAGATAAAATATAAATTAAGAAATAAATTAATTTAATCAGCCTTTTTTGCCCAGTTTACATGCTTAGCTATACATTTATCCTTTAATTGTAAACACTGTTTACTCTCGAGTTAATTTATTGAATTGCTATCATTTAATTGAATAAAAGTGTCAAATAACTTTGAATTTAATTTTCCCAGCAATTGAGTGAAAAAATCAATTAAATTGAACAATTATTTCAGCGATATTTATGAATGTTGCTTTTTTAAGTCACATTAAAATTAATTGTAACAATAATGTTTCCAGTCAAATTGATTACCAGCAAATGGTTTGTTTAAAATGACATTAATTTGTCTTTCAATGTTATTTAAATATTAAACTCTGAATTCTTGGTAAATTCAATTCTGAAGTTAATCTTTTAATATTCATTACCTAATATTCAATTGAAAGTTAACCCAAAAATATCATGAAATGGTAAACCTTTCATTTTAAATAACATAATTCCTCTCGACATTAGAGCTTTATAACAATGTAATTGATCACAATTGAATGGTCATGTTAATTCATGAGATATTGACAATGTCAGGAATTGAATAAATTGGGTTTATCTACCAACCTACACAGAAGATGATTAACGTTGTCTACGGAACATTCAAACTTGATATTGGCAACCTTTTCTTTTACCTGTTAACCTCAGATGAAAGCTCAATATATTTTATCAAAATGATTATACCATCTTAATCATTATTATTTATTTATTTACGTAGTTAGTTATTTATTAATACAATGTTTTGTTAAATCATCGTCATCATTGATTTAAATTCACAATCTTTGTGCTTTACAAACACCTACTCAGCTCGATAGGAAATCAAATGGCTATCATTATTGGGAAAGTGCAGACATTAATTCTCATTAATCTAATTCCAACATTCAAGATTTACATCATGATTAAATATCATCAAAGTGCACCAGAGTTAATTTGATGTGTTTAATATTTTCTCAATAAGTTAAGCTTCTATAACTGTAACCATTAAACTTTCATTTGTCTTCACTGATCGATAGCGATGATGATAATCAACGTAATTATGATGCTGATCATCATCATTATCACTGCTATTAATGCAGCTAATTGTTTGTTTGGAAACAATTAAGGTGTTCAGTTGATTGGAAATGATAAACAAAATTATAGTTATTTTAATGTAAAATTGTTTGCAAAATTAAACACGAGATGGCAAAATTAGTAACCTTGATATTACATGTGATAATCCTAGTGTCTAGAATGGTTTAACATCCGCTCCTTGAGGCTTAATTGTCAAACATTGGTTTGATTAATGATTTTTAATTCGCTTTTTTACCTTTTCTTGCTCATTTTTATCTTTCCTCCCTGAATTTTCATTCATTTGCCCACGATGTTCTCCGTAATGATCTTAGGAATCTACCAAAAGCAATTTACATCTCATGTATTTTGGTTACTGTTGTTTACACCATGACAATTGTTGCATTTCACTCGACGCTTTCCGTTCCTGAGCTGTTGGCCTCTAATGCTGTTGCTGTGGTACGTTAAATTAGATAATCATCTTTCTTAAATTAACATTTTCATCACCAACCTAAATTAATTGTTAATATCTATTGTTTTCCCATGTCTCTAGACTTACGCTGAAAAAGTATCCAGTCTTTTAGCCTACACTATGCCAGTTTTTGTTGCAATGTCAACCTTTGGTGGAGTCAATGGAATCCTCTTTACATCTTCAAGGTTTGTCTTGCAAACTAACATGATTTTATAAACTTCAGATTGTGGGTGGATTGAGAGACTGAACCTCTGACTATAAAGTTAACTCAGTACTTAATTTATTTAGACATAAATTTTTACACAATTTGAATTTATAATTTTTTGAGAGTTAATGAACTATTTCACGTTTACCATAATGTAACTAGTTTTTCTAATTGTTTTTTTTCTCTTTTTTACTTGCAGATTATTTTATTCAGGCGCTGAATATAATCAAATGCCTCAATTATTATCAATGATACAAGTTAAACATCATACACCGGTTCCTGCTGTGATAGCAATGTGTTTACTTTCATTGGTTTACCTCTTATTTAAAGATATTTATGCTCTAATGGATTATGTTGGCTTCTCTACTTGGCTTGCTATCGGGTTAGCTGTAGTCTGCGTACCTTATTTAAGATGGAAGCGTCCTGATCTTGCTCGACCCATCAAAGTACCATTATTTTATCCAATACTTTACATTGCTGCCACCGTATTTATCATTGTTGTACCTATCATTGAAGACCCAGTATCAACAGGTTTTGGTCTGATTATGATATTATCAGGTGTACCTGTTTACCTGTTATTCATTGCATGGAAAAATAAACCATTATTTTTCCAAAGATTCATCTGTAAGTTAATAGCTTCTATGGATAGTTTAAACTGTCAACTACATCAAGCTTTACCGCCATTGATTTGAAATCTATCAAAATTAATAGCTTAAGCCGTAGAGTTGAGAGTTTTTATCTTTTACATAATTTTCGAGTCAACATTTCACATGAAAGCGAGAATCAGCATCTCAGCCCTGTGAATATGTTCTGGAAAATTATTGAATTCAATGGAATCAACAAAATTACTAAATTTCACTTTTTCTTTTCTTACTTACAGACCAAATAACAATAACATTGCAAAAATTGTTTGTTGTAGTTCCATCGGAAAAAGCTCAAGATATGTGATTTTAAATTTATTGGCCAGTTTTTTGTCTTCAAATTTACAGAAATTATGTACATGTCACCCACTCTATTCTTTACTGCCAAATCATACTTCACCAACAAATTGAATGAATGAATGAATGATTGATTGATTGATTGACATGTTTTATTAATTTAATTATTATTATTATTACCATTGTTCATGTGATGAAGTGATTTACATGAGTTACTAATTAAATTCTGTAAGAGTTTAACATAGCTGATTGTGTTTTTCAGATGTGAATTAAAAAAAACAAAACCACGTTTTGCGTCATTGACATCGATGTTGCTCTTTCGTTGTTTTCCAAACTGATTTTAATTAGACCAACAGCAATTAGTGAATGAGAGTGAACATTAATATAAGCAAGATTTCTCAAATTCAAACCTGTGATGTGTGATCAAACGGTTTGACCAATAATGATAATAATAACAATAATAATGACCAATAATTTTTCTAGGACTAAAAATGATGAGCAGAGAATATGAAACAAAAATGAATAATCCATGTAGATAGAGCGATTGTAAATTAATTAGTCCCTTTGATTGGATGAAAATGAAAATTGAAACTAAAATGAAATGAGAAGAATCAATCTTGATGCTTAATATAATGTATTTGTAATGATTATAAGGTCCATGAACCTTTTAGTCACATGTTTCTATACAAACAATAAACAAAATATATCTTACAATAATGGAGGGAAAGTAGAGTTAACTTTTTATCCTAATTTTTATGCGATGTCACTAATCCATTAAATTGTAATTTGTAATAAATTAATTGTGCTTGTATCTTGACAAATTACTGACAATAGTTAATCACGCGTTCTTGTGTTTCCATCCAACGTTCACGGGATGATTTTTTTCAATGAAAGGACTGAACAATAAAAACAGGAGAAACAAAACAAAAATTAATCCTATGAGCCATTTATCAACTTTATTCATCTCTAAATCACTTGACTCTATTATCTCATGATTCGTTCGATTCCAAGGATTATCCCCATCGCCCGAAGATACAGCCATTGTGAAACAGTTTATTTGAATTTATTATTGTAGTCTATTGAAGATAAGTGAAAATACATTAGAATCCTTTCCAACAATTCTTGTTTCATCTCCAATAGTATTTTATTAAACTAATCACGGATTTGAAAATTTAAATGATCGAAGAGTAATAAGAGTTACTACCCTTCAATTGTGAATATAAATCAATAGAGATTGTGTATAAGATCAAAAATTGTTTATTATTTGCAAAAAAGAATTTCAGATATTAAAATAGATATCATGATCGCATTTTTTTAATAAAGAGTAAGTTCATAAAAATTCTTTGGTTGGAGACAATTACTGTATATGTATATGTGTATATAATATCATTGTATAAAAATTCTTTGGTATATTCACTACTATTTGATCCAATAGTTGATGTTAAAGGCATATCGCTGAAACTGAGCTGTAGGGTATATAACCGCAATCCATATTACCCCAGCATTTTCTGCTAACTGAGTCCCAAGATAAAGTTTCATTAACGGTGAGTATAGCACCATCATTCAGCATCTTTAGCAATAATTTTGTTATATGAAGAGCATCATAGTATCCAGAATGTCTCTTTCCTTCGAAGCGGATTCCAAGAGTAGTAAGCATATTATCAAGACAAATCTGTTGGAAAATGGAGAAAAATGAGTTAGATTCTTGTTATCAGGTATGAATTTAACCTCGTTAATGAAAAGCATTTATAATACTAATCAATATGAAGGTTGCAACTAATACTTACTGGATGAGCTTGATAGCAATCTGAATATACTCTTTTCAGGTTTATCCACCTTTTAGCATATATTGGGAACTCAAGTCCATGTATTTGACATTGTCGAGCTAAGAAATGAGCGATGTCCCATGGTCTAATGGAAAAGAAGAAAAATATTAGAATGTTATCCAGTTTTTCAAGATCACTGGGAAAAGATATAATTGAAGAAACTTACCCATCAGTCGCAATAGCGAAGGTTCGATAATTTTTCTCTATAAGAAGACTAGCAATATTCTTTTCAAATCGCTCCAACACTTTTGGAAAGGGATCTGCTTGGTCTACCATATGTTGAGATATACCAGTGAGTTGTGTACAAAAATTTGATAGTTTAGGATTTATTATTGGCCTAACATATTCATGGAATGTGGAGATCTGTAAAAATAGAAAATAAATTGATATTAGTGATTGGTTAAGGAGAAGGCACTTGAACAGATGATTTAGAATAAAAAACTCATAACTTACCACAGATCTCGTTCTTGTATCCACCATGAATGCGGGAAACTCAATGATCTCCATGATGGCATCGTTGGGTGGCCGGCGACCTCCATAATTATCACATGTAGCTTCAAAATCGATGACACAAATAATATCACAATCTGTTTGATAGTCATAATTTATGTAAGGATTTCTGAATTGATACATAGTTGTTGATGGTTTCTTTTTTGATGGTGAACAAGGAGATTTGATTCTAGTGTGAGTATCCCAGTAGCTGGACCAAAGATTTTGTTTTCCTTGATGATCAAAGTGAAAAGGTAGAAAAAAATTATGATGAGAAAAGTCTTGAAAGAAAAAATGTTGATTTAGAGTTGATTCAGACATTCAAATTGCCACAAATTGATTCGATTTTCCAACGAACTGGTATACAGAAAGCGAAGTGTAGCAGCAAAATAAGCGTTTAGGTTTTAAACAACACAAAAGGTAAACAAATCAACAAACTGGCGATAAACACAAACAATAAAAAGGTAACTTTGGTTTCACTCTTGACCAACACTGACACTGGTTAATGAGGATTAAATTAATCAACAATTAACCAGAGTCAAAGTGGAACAAGGGAATAACTGAATAACAAGAGTTAAGTTGAACCTAAGGAAACTCAAATGACAATGTTTTGAAACGTTAATAGGAAAAGATAGGGAGAAAGACTATCAACAAACACAAGACAGTTTAACCACGATTAACCTTCAACAGGAGTATAGAGGGAGAGAGAGAAGTAAATAAGGAAGATTGTCCTTCTGCAATTAATGAAAAATTAATAAACTAATTGAAAGTGTAAATGAAATACTATAAAACAGAGCCATTGACACACACAATGTTTAGTGAAAAACACACACATGGGACAATGATATATGGCTAACAGGGTAAATGACTGCTTGGTGGTTATGTTGTTATGTTTGCTTTAATCGCATAGGGAAACAAAGAGTCAACCTTTCTTCCAATTGGCAAATTAATGGTTGTGATTGTTAATTTAAGGGCGCCATAAAACAAAATTGAAATCAAATGAAAATAAATAGCGACTTACTTGATTGATGAGGTTGAAATGGGTTGTTGATGGTGAAGATTGAAGTTCGAGTATATGATATCTGATGAAATATGTTGAAATGTGTCGACAAGATGGTGAAGATGAACACTGATGTCCACAGACAAAAATTCAACCAGTTAAATAGTCAATTGGGTTAATCAGTTTAACCAGTTTCCTAGCTAACTTAATCGGTTCGACTTAACATTGTACATTTTGTTTTTTAAACGCATTAACGCTAAACTATTTAGTTCATAGCTTAAACCACAGGCATAAACAGATTATCAAAAAACTATGAACAGCGTTTGATCATGGATGAACAATTGGTGACTACATGCAAATGAATCGTATTAAAGACTCATATTGACAAATTGATTATTGAGAAAGATTACAATTTTAAACTGCTTTCCTTTAACCATGGCATTGAACTGAACTCGGATTCCTAGGTTGACGGGCTAATTAACCAAGAGTAATAAAATGTTTTAAACTTTGAGTCCAATTTAGTTTGGGTTTAACACGATAGTTCAATATCAAATTACTTGTTTACTTGAAAAGCCAATTTACTTTTTTTACAATCACAAGTAAATCACAATGTTTCAAATAAACTAACATAAAAATGATGGATATCTTTACATTTTTGATAACAGTTTAATCCATGACCAGGATAATCCGTTTGAGCGTCAAAAATTGATTATGAATCAACGAGAAATTTTCATCATAAACATAATTCATTTGATTGTAAGCCTTGAAAGCTGTTTACTTTTGTTCAATTTAATCTTGATCAATCATTTACATTTCAATGGGAAAAGTAACTTCATTGGTAATCTCATATTTCAAGGTTCTCAATTGCAGTCTGATAATGGCTGTTGGGTTAAACATGATAATCCTGAATTGTTTATCATTATTAATGTTGATCTCTGAGTAAAATCAAGATTGGTAACCTGCATAACTGAGTGTTTAGATAAACTTTATTAAACTTCATCTTCTAATTGTTATTGGTTATCAAAATAATAGTGATGTAATTGTTTTGAAAAGGTAAAACTGAAATGGTAATGTTTATGCAGCTTCAAGTCGCTTTTAAAACTATTAGCAAAATGATTGAAAGTGATTAGGTTTTAATTTTATATCAGCTGAACACATCTTTTACCAGATTTTGATTGAGCTAAATAGTTAGGCTTGTGAAGGTACCTTTTTCTGGTGCCTGTAGGATCCAGTAAAAGCTAGTGATTGGATCTATTGATGAAATCAAAACTCTACAAATAGATGACAATCATTCCAATCAAAATATAACCTGAATTTGGTGTTATGAAATGGTAATAGATCAACAACTTGCCGTAAATTAGCTCATCATTTAAGCTATTCAGGTTATAACAAAAAATATTTATTTGTTTGAAAAATTTGCAAAACAAACCAAAATTTATACAGAAAAATAGATCAAATAAAATGCTTCAATCTTCGGAGGGAAAATATAACATTGATATTTTTTAAAACAGAAATGGCTTTTGAATTTTATTTGTCAGAATTGGTCAAATAGTCTCTTTAGGTCACTAGCAATTGTTGAAATGAAAGATTAATGTAAATCCAAAGAATCTTTGGAACGCTTCTTGGAAGTTTCACTTTGGTTTTGTGAGCATTTTGGAGGTTTCCACTGAAACCAATGAGTTTGTGGTTGAGTTTCCGACCCAGGATTGTCTGGAATCAGTTGAAATTGAATGTAAATTTTCTTGAAGATCAGTAAAAATCAATGAAGAAATATGTGAAATGATCCAAATGATGAGATGAAATGGTGGTTAAATAAATGATTGGAATTTCATGGAAAAACGAGGATTTTCTCAAATGATTTTAGCCTGGTCTCGACATGACTTGTGCCTTAATTATCGTAAAAAGGTAATCGACCCCAGTTTGAGACTTGACTACGACGTTCCAATGAAATTAAATCATCAGCAAGATGATACTGAGTGGGTCCACCAGTCCAAGCTGATGAATAGCTACTGTTTACTGTTTCCTCTTTCTCTGCCTGTAAAACAAATTAAAGAGTGTAAATTGATTAGCTATCACAAATTGAGCTTATCCAAACAAACCTTGTGATCGTCGATTATCATTTCACGAGATTCAGGAAATCTTTGGCTACTAGTTGAAGAAGGTGATTCCCCAAGTGATTGGTCAAATGAAGGTCCATCTTCACTCAATGTTTTCCTGTTCAAATTTGATGAGAAAAAGGCAATTAATTAATCTGGTTAAACGTAAATCTAGAAATGAAAAATTCTAATATTGACCAGTACTTTTTACTTCTACTCTCATTTGGTGAGTAAGAACCATGGCCTGTCCTTAAAACTTTCCATTGCCAGTCAAAATTACCAATCCTAAGATCACTTAATCCTCTATAGCTTTTCAATGTTTTATTGACAGAAGACCGACTACGAAGTGATTCATTCTGTGAGTAAGAAATGACGGAAATATGTTAGATAAATAGCTTAAAAAATTTAAATGGTTATCAAGCAATTAGAGTAAGCAAGATAATACACAAAAGCTGAAGGCAATACCTGAAGATCATAACGTTTGCTCGGCGTCCACTCAATGAAATCTTTTTCATGAGATGAATCTGGACGATGGAAGCATCTAGATTCAGAACGAGAATCACTTCTATTAAAATCCATTCTAGATGAAGATGGCCTGATTTGAGATGTCCTGTAGTGTCTTTTAAAGCTTATCGGTGGAAGTGAATCATCTGTTGGTGTATCTGGTGGTGATTTCCTCCTCTCCAAACTATCAGGATCCATTCTGGTGGCTGTCGTTGTAGGTGATCCATGTTGACTGTTTGGCGATGACTAGATAAACATTATGTAAAAAGGAAACAATTAATCATTGAAAAAATATTAGTTAATTAACAAAATAAAAATAATTAGTTATGTAAATATAACAAGTCATTACAAAGACAATGACATAGGACGATGACAATGAAGAGACAGCTGATACCAGCCCAAAGCAACATACCCAAAACCATAAAGTCCAGTGATGTAATGCTTCAACCAAAAGCATTTTTAACCAGAAAACCAGCAAATACCAGAAAATTTAAAAAATAAAAGTAATTAAGCCCCAAAAAAGCTTCAATCAAAGCCAACTGAAGCATAATAATGAAAGTAAAAAGCAATTGTTTACAACTAACTAGCCATCACCAAAGAGTACAAGATGAACCAAATTAAAACTAACTAACTAATTCAAATCATCGTCTCTAAGGACAATTTAACTACACAGAATGAATTGTAAAATTAAGTTTCAACCTGAATTGAACATTAAAAATCAAATAAAATATTGAATTGTTAAATGACTACCAATCCTTAAATCAGTTTCACTTAAAAATATATACAGTCAATAAAATTGTAACCAATTTAGAGATGAATCTTAGATTTGTTGATTGAACAAATGATAAATCTATTAATTGATGGTTAATTGGTTCATAATCGTAAGGTGATGCTCAAGAATGCAATTACACCGAAGGAAAAACGCGTTCAGCCCAAAAAAAAACAATAAAGCCCAAAGCGAGAGGAAAATTTGTAAATGTTTTAAATTTTATTTTTTGATTTCAAGTTTAAAGGTTGGAAGAGAGATGAAAAGGGTTGAGAAAAGGGATGAAAAGGAATGAGAATCAAAGGGTAATCATGAGGGGAACAAAGCATTTGGGAAACAATTTGATAGTCAGTGATTAACAGTTGGGTTTTACAATTGTGATGCTCTTAAAAATATGAAAAGCGGATCATTTTGAGTCCAAATTGCAATTTACTCGATAATCAACAATCACCTTCACTATCAATTGATTATTTGAATCTCATTAATCGTGAAGCAATTTAAAAACAATATATCAACATCTAAATTTCATTGATATTTTTGCGTCAAGTCTTTTGGTTTAGAGATTTCTATAATTAGTAAATTGTAACAATATTAACTATATTCAATTGAGTGAAACTCGAAAGGGTGAAAGAAGAGAAGAGGAAAGGAAAGAGATGATAAATTGAGAATCAAATAGATCTTCAATTGTAAACAATGAGAAATAAAATTTGCGAAAAAATTGTGTAAAAAAATAGTAAATTAACAGACATTGTTTCTCATTGATTTAATCAAAGATCCTTTCGATTCCAGTGGCACTTTTGATTGATTGTTGATGATTAAAATGAGTTAAACGGTAAATGATGATTTAGGAAAGGGACGGATGAAACTGTGATCAATTTGATTGACAATTCAACAGATTTAACTGTTGCATTAACATAAACAATTTGCTGGTAAAATGTGTCAACAGTGACATCTATCGAGTAGATTTATAACTGCCATTCAATTGTCGAAATTTGAATCACTATTTAAATTGTTGGAATGAAAAACACTGTTTACTTATTTCTGTCTCAATATGTCAGTAATTTAGTTTATTACTTTTTAGTGTTTAAATGTGAAACTTAAACTGTACAATTCCCAATCAAGATATTAATTAACTAGTCCATTAATCATTTATATATATAACTACTTATATAAATATAAATTGAGCATTAACTATCGTCTTTATTTAGTTTGATCAAAGATCGATTAACTTGTTTTTGTTATCTTTTGTTTGATCCTATCAAGTAAAATAATAATAAATTATTAACTGTCAAATTGAATAGTAGTTTAACAAGTCAATTTTGATGATTGGTAAGAATAAGAAGAAACTAATTGCCCTGAATTTATAGCAATTGCGTTGTGGGAAATTATATCAATAATAATGATAATAATTAAAATATTTAAAGACATTAATGATGATATAGCTGATGGTGAATCAAAAATTAATAAATCAGCTTCTGGCTTGATTGGGAATTGTAAACATGTTAAAGAGTAGCTTAAATCAGTTTGTTTCACTTGATGGGTTTAAAGTTAATTTTAAGCGCTTTTTCTGTCCTCTCTGCGTGAAAAAATGTGCATCAACGCAAAATTGTTTAAAGGTACTTTCGCTAAGCAGGAAGTCCCGGGAAGGAAGAGATGGAATGAAGATGATTGAGATGAGGAGGTAAAATCGGATGAAGATAGGTATGTGCGTGCTAACAAGGTTTGTGCATTTACAAGGACGTGAAGTGTTTTTAATCATGCGAAAGGAAGACGTTAGTGAAGGAATGATTTAAACGAAATGATTTTAATGGCGATGATAATGTGATGATCATATCAATTGAATGGTTGTTGAAGATGATGATATTTCATGCACAAGATGAGTTGTGTGTAAGCAATGAAGACATTGTTGACAATGAAGATGATTGTGATGAAGATTGGTGATGTTTGATGAGTTGATGAAAAAAACGCAACAAAAAAGTAGTAATGATAATGAACAGGATGAAAGTGAAGCCCACAATTAATTAATTAATGAATATTTATATGTATATTGTATCACCACATGTAAACTTGTCCTCGATGGATACCATAATTTACCTGATTAATGTGACGGGCTCGAGGTATTGTAACTTGAGGTGGCATTGCGACAAAAGATCCACCGACTGGACCTAAACTACGGTCTAAGCTCATATCATGGGACATGTGACGTCTAGAGGAACCATTACCGGCATAACCCTGAAAATTGAATGAGAAAAGGTAAAAAGAAATTAAAAAATGAGATTCAATAAAAAAATGGTAAATAATGGGTGATGGCAAGTACCAAGTTGGATTCATTTTAGCAAGCTTTGCCTTAATATTTCAATTGTAATCAGATGCTGGACAATTAATAATTTAATTGGTGTTTTCATTTGTTCACTTTACGCAATATTAGTAATGAAAGAAAGAGTATTCAGTCTTAAAATAGTGCGATAAAGGATACAAATTGGTTATAAAATGAATCTTGGTGATGGTGATAATAGACGATTGAAGGGTTACTTACGCCCATATTATTGGTTCCATCGTGTGAAGCATGACGAAAATGTTCACTTGACTCTGATGATGTTTCTAACATGGCTTTACGGTCAAGTGTATTGGCACCGATGGTTGGTGGTGCAAAGGCAACAATATTTTTAAAACCTTTTGGATAATTATTTTTCTTTTTGTACTTTCTACAACAATAGACGATACAGCAAACACACACAATGGACAAAATGGCTGCTATTGGCAGGAATGTTGCAAGAACTGTTAACAAAATAGAAAATGAGCGAAAAATTAGATTAGATGCGAAAAAAGGATTGAAAATTGTTGAAGAAATGAGATTAACAAGAGCAAAATGAAGTGAATAATTTTTCACATTTGGTGAAATTATTACAGCCAAAGAGTGGGTTGATGGGTAACCTAAAAAGTGTTATCAATTAAACTTTCCATGAAACCTGTACAGTTAATGAACAATCAACGTTTTTATGTGTATTATTGTTGTTAAATGAAGGTAATAGGAAATATTGAAAAGAAATGGCTGTTTGGATGTTGGAATTGAATTGAATTTTGAAATGATTGAACTTGAAAAAATAGATTCAATAAAGATAAAAATGAATATATTTCTATTCATATTTGATTGCTTTTCATATTTTTGCTCAAGCTAATAATGTGATGTTAAGGTTAACTTACGAAGTCCGTTAATCTCACAACGTTCGCCAAGATACATCCTTTGGCATTTACATGATGTCTTTTCACCATCTTCACTGCGAACACAGTCACCACGACCATGACAAGCTTCACAATTTTTAATTTCAGCAGCACAATGACGACCTGGTAAGTTGGGATCCATATCGGTGTAAGCACCTTTACATTCACATCTATAGGTTCCAGGTTTATTGATACAATAGGCGGCTGGATCACAATCATTGTACTTTTCATCGGTACATTCATCAAAGTCCATTACTTCATGAACATCAGCAACAATTGATGATGGACTTGGCAGAGATTCAGTTTCTGTTAATGATTTTGATAGTTCCATCTTAAGGACACCTTCATCTAAATCATCTCGTGAAGCAAGATGAACAGTCAAGTTGACCAAAACTCCATCCTCACCAGCAGCTGTTTTGTTGATACAATTTACATCAGCACCAATGTAATTTTCTTTGATTGTTGTGTTACGGTAAGCCTTTTCGACTTCATCTCGAGTTAGTTTGGCAATCTTTTGATATTCATTGGAACCATTATCAGATAATTCAGTTTTATAAGAAACAGATGATTCGCCGACTTTCATTAATTTGACCACAACAACATAACTTTGCAATTCTAGATTGAAAAATGTAACAAAACAATTAGTAAAAGAGTGAAACAGATTTTGTTAATACAACTTACCTTCACATTTGTCATCGCCTTCTTTACGAGCAAAGCCAGGTCGACATTCACATCGGAAGATATTTTCAGTTTCTTTACATATTTCCTTGTTTGCAATATTACATGATGGTTTGCATTGATCATCATCAATCACTTTTGGTGTTGTTAATGGTTTACTTGTTGTATTGGCGACCTTTACATCACTAGGTAAAGTTGAAATGGGTCCAGTTGGTGGTGGAGTAACTGGTCTTTTGGGTAAATATGGAGATCGTGTTCGTGATCCTGACGGCCTGATTGATATTGAAGGAGGTGTGGTTGATCTAGCTGGTGGACGGAATGGGGTGTAAGGTCTTCGACTGGGTCTTTGTGTAACTGGAACTCGCGTTGTGGCTGGCTTAGTGGGCTGAATACCTTGAGTTGGTATTACAAGAGTACGGACAACAGTTGTTGTAATTGAATTGAATATTAATGTGGTTGTTGTTATGGTTGTCGCTGACTCTTCTGCTGATGATACTGATGGCTCAATGTCAACAGTTTTGGTTGGATCACCAGCTGTTCCAAGTATGGTTCGGGATCCAACTATTGTTGACACAAATGTTCGCGGTGGAATAGTTGTTGTTAATACTGATGTGATTGTTAGAGGTGAATCTCTAGTGTAGTATACTTTGGTAGTAGTTAAAGTCAAGGTTCGAGTCATACTATCAACTGAAGTAACATAGCGGGTTGATGTTGGTTCAATCGAACCTGAATTTGGATTGCTGATAGATGATTCTAAAGCTTCATTTCCAGTGAAAAATATTGTCGTTGAACCAGCTGATTGATCAGACAATTTACTAGTTAAGCCTGGTGTTGTCTCGGTTGATCCAGAAGAGGAAACTGGTGGAACAACTGACCCTTCAAGTTTTGTTTCGGGTTGCTTTTTCCTCAAGTAAACATCATTTTTGCGTTGATAACCACCTCCATAGGTACCAAGATCATCATTATCTGTTGGTGTTAAATCTCCGGATGAAGAAGATGATGATGAAGAGGAAGATGAGGAAACTACGCCTGGCCCATCTTCACCCACTTCAATACCAAACTCTGGTTGATAGATTCGCTCCTCTGTATCATTGGGTCGAGCCTTACCACCAAGTGGAATATAAACTGGTTCAGAATCACCTGTCACAGTAATACCGCTCTTAGGAAGTTCAACTTTAGATGATTCGATTCGTTCATCAGTAGGTACAGCTGCTAATGTTTTATTTTTACCCGAGTTTTTAGCAATTAAATTGACAATATCTTTGATTGTATCACCTAAACCTCCAGCAAGATTGACATTTGAACCACCGCCAAGTAAATCACTCAACTCTATCACAGTTCCAGGTTTAATTGTAGATGAACCTGGTGCAACTGTTGTTGATCCAGTTGGTGTGGACACTGTTGGTGCAATAGACGATCCAGTAGCTGCTTCAGATGGTTTGTAAACAAGATCAGGGAAAAAGACGACTGTTGATCCACCAATAACGGTTGTTGATTTACCGATTGAACTGGCAGCGGATAAAATTACTGATGAAATTTGATCTTCAGATAATCCTTGAGAAGCTTTTAAGCTTTCAACAACACGAGAGAAAAGACTGGACTCTAATTGACCTGGTTGAGTTGATTCAAATCGAACGGAAGGATTAACAGAAGCTGTTGGTGCAATTCCTTCCGGTTGATGTTGATGATGGTGACGCTTTTCATTTTCACTTTCATGTCCATCAATTGAATACAACGGAGTTGTTGGTAAAGCCGATGATGGTGATAAAGATGAAGAAAGGGTAACATAAGATGTTACCATGGCATCTGATGAATCAGAGTCGACAGAGTTGGATTTGTACATAGTAATAACGGGATTAGATGCACCAGGTTTAACAGATGAAGAGTTTGGTACGTATCTGAAAGTAAGAAAAAAAATATGATTAGTTATAAACCTTAAGATAAGCGTATTTACACCTCTATTTAGAAAGCTTTTCAGGTAACTTACAAGGTGACAAGTGATGAAGTTGCTTCAGTTCTTGAAGCAACAATTGATGTATGACCATTGAAAAATGTGGTGTAATAAGTGTGAGTTACATGGAGAGTTGAAATGGATGGTATAAGAGCAGTCATTAAATCACGAGAAGATTTGAGTGACTCTCCATCGGCTTGAGTTCGAACAATATTGGCACCAAATTGAGCAGGTGAACGTGACTTAGTTGAATCAGGTGATTCAGTAGATCCGGCCCATTGGGTAACCACTGTGGGTGATATTTCCTCAATTGAAGATAATATCGTTGAACTTCCAGAGAAGAGAGTGATAAAGTGAGTTAATGTTGTGTAAGTTGATTTAGTTGTCAATAGCGATGGATAAGCGGACATTTGATTAATTGTTTCGGTTGTTGAGAAACCAAGTTTATCAGTGGATAAGGGAGGTGTTGGTTGACCAGTGCTGGGTAAAGTGAAAGTGACCACATTTGAAATGACGTCTTCAGAGGCAATTGTTGATCGTGGCTCTCCTTGAGTCAAAAATTTGGTATAAGTTGTGTAATAGGTTCGTGAAAATACGGAACCTTGTGGATTAGCGGGGTCACCGGTTCTTGATGGATAAATGGTTTTGGTTACTTTGATTGGTTCACGAAGGGTTAATATTTCACTTCGTGTCTCTTCAATTGGTGTAATTACTGATCGTGATCCATTAAACAGGGTTGCAAAGTAAGTATATGTAGAGTAAATGGTTGATGTTTCAATCTTTTCACTGGTTTCAACAACTGTGATTGGTTTTGCCGATGTTGATTCACTCTTTGTGGCAACAATATTTGGTAATGGTGCTGTTCGCTGTTGAGTAACCAAATTGGATACAACTTGTTCCGATGAGGAGACTATTGATGATGGTCCATTATAGTAGGTTGTGAAATATGTATATGTGGTGAAGACGGTTCGTGTTTCCAGGTCACTAGAATCAATTGCACTTGAATGTAAACCATCTCTCATTGAAACAGCAGCCCCAGTAACCAGAGTAGGCTCTAATGTAACTGGACCAGTTGGTTCCAAATTACTGCTGACCAGAAGGGTAACTCCATCAGTATTAACTTCATAACTTGCTGAAGATAAAGGTTCGGTTGCAATTCGAGAGTTTGTTATTTCAATTGTTGTCAAATGGGTTTTGTCTTGACCAGAATCTTAAAAAGGATTAAAAAAAGAGCAAAAAAAATATATATTCATTAGTTAAAAGTGATTAAGTTTCAATTTGTATCTGAGCCAATTGTGATTGCCAATTATAACAATTATTATTACCTGATACAACATATGGTATAGTGTGAGTTGTTGTTGTAAAGTAGGTAACCAGAACAGAAGATCGAGTTGGATCAATGGATGAATCAATTGAAGCTGATGAATCAACATCTTCAGATGATAATATGGACGAAGAGACTGATTCGCTTCCTGATGAACCTGGTGGCCGGACAACTCTACTTGCCACTCGGAATCTATTTTTATTGGGTCGAGCAGTACCAATGGGTCCTGTTCGTGTAACCACAACAAACTTGGGTTCAGTTGTCTCGGATGGAGTGATTGGTCGTCTAATTCGTGATCTAAGTCTATCACCAGCATAAGGTCTTCTAACAGTGACAGCAACTCGTTTCATAGAAGAGCTAACCAAATCAGATGAAACTAATTCAGTAGATGAAACTGCAAGTCCATCAGATTCAGTTGGAGGAAGAGGAGATGAACTGAGAATGGCAAGCGATGGTGTTTCACTTGCACCGTTATAAGATGATGAAGATAGAGGTAAATCAATTGATGAAGATGGTTCCAAGAAAAGTGATTCAGTAGCCTCAGGTGAGTCAATGGAAGAACTGATTCTGGGTCGTTGAACACGATTAAAGTTTGGCCGAGTTCGTACTCGCTGTCCTGGTCGACCAGTGACAACTTTAGATCTGATTGAATCTGGGTTAAGAGCAGTGCTTGAAACGCGAAGGGGTCTTCGAGATCGACCGAATGTTGCCGTTGAAGATGGATTTTCAATTGATGGGGTTGCCGTTGGCTCTCCAAATGAACCGGAGACTGAGAAGGATGATTCTAGGAAAGGTGTTGATGCATCAAGAGTGGGTAAATCATTGGAAGCAGGTAATCGGGTGAAAACTTCAGTTGGTTTGAGGTTAATTTCATCAGTAGCTAACCGGTTAGATGATGCTGAGAGTGTTGCTGTTGGTTCAATTAAAACATTTGAGACTCCATCTAATTTAAGGTAAGTATGCATTGCCAGATTAACTTCCGTTGTTGACCCACCGAAAACTCGTTTACCCAAATTAATTGTTGATGAGCCACCGCTTAAGGCCACTAAACCATCTGCATTAACTGAAGTCTCCAATTTAAGGGCTGCTAAAGCTGAAGGGTCTGTTAACCGAGATGTTGTTACCTCCGAACGAGTTGATCGCCGAGTAGCAGTACCATCATGAATTGTATAGAAGTAAGTGAATTGTGTGTGAAGTGCTTTAGGAATAGATGATAGAGCACCAACTTGTATTCCATTGGGTCTACCGATAGGAACTCGTTGTGAAGTTTCAATGACTGGTTTGCGGGTTCGAGAAAATTCAATTTGAGCTTTTGAAGGTGCACCTCGGACTGGTTCAAAGCCAGCAATATGGACATTTGATTGAACATTTACAATGGTAGTTGTTGGTCCTTTCGTCTTTGTTCCTAAGTTGGAGGTTCTTGTTGGTCTAATAATGAAATGAGAAACAAAGCAACATAATTAGTAAATTTATTAATTGTTGAAATTAACCTAAAAAAGTAAAGTAAATTCTTACCTGATATTTCCTCCTGAAGCAGAAATGATTTCTGCAATTGAAGGATCATAAGGTTGAGTTACACGAACTGAAGCAACTGATTCGCGGCTAGTTAAAAGTGTATGAGGTCCACGAATAACGGTTGTCAAATAGGTGAATGTTGTCAAATAATCAACAACGATTGGACCATTTGGTGAAACTGGAGAACCGGCGGAAAATGTGACTACATCATCTTTCAATTTAGATCCGAAACCTGATTCAACGGCGTCACCCGAATCAAGAGCATTATTATTAATAACTTCTTCATCAACTGGTGCATCCAAATTATTTCCTGGCACAGGACGAACACGAAGTGAGGTTGGACGAGTTGGCGATGGAACTCCAGGTGATGAACCTGGTCGTCTACCTCTGATTCGACGAGTATCCTGGTTACGTTCAAGATCACCTTCAGGTACTTCAGAGCCAATTGGTACTGGAGTAGCTGGTGGAGGTCGAGTAACAACAACAGCTGTCGGTGCAACAGCATCAGTTGGTACTCTTGATCTTATCCGGTTACCATTAACAGGTCTTATTCGTCTGGATCCACCAGTGGTTGGACGAACTCGTCGAGTTCGAGGTGGCTGAGTTGGCAGTGGTGCACTTGTAACCGATGGAACAGCAAACTCAGTTCCCAAAGCTGGCGGTAAAGGTTGTCCAATAACCGGTGGTCCACTAGGAGCAAGATCATCTTCCGTTGAAAGACTAACCGAAGGTCGCCTCACATTATCCTGGTCAGGTGTACGAAACACTGGAAGTCGTCGGAAAGGAGTGTTTGGTGAACTGGTTGGCTGTGGTTGTGGCGGAGGAGCAGCAACAGGCGAATTTGGCCTGCGAACATTGATCCTTTGGAATCTTGGTCCTAACTGTGATGAAGAGCCTGGAGATGAGGCAGGACTTGAGCCTGGTCCGTTTGCAAAGGCAATGGATGGTAAGTCTAAGGCTGGTGAACGATTAGGTGGTGGTGGAGGTGGCGATAAACGGACTCGCTGGAATGAACCAGTATTTCGAACACCAGGCTGTTGAAAGTTTATTGAAGGTTGTGATGACGGTGGTGACGGTGGCGATTGAGGGAATCCCTCAGACGATCCATCGACCGGACCAACTTCCCTGAAACTTTCAATATCAGAGTAATCGGGTGTATCGTCTGTCGGTTGTAAATGACTGCGAGGCGGAGACGGGAAAGACTGGAATCCTGGCAAGTTGACCCGAGTAAAGTCTCGCAAGAAGTCGACTTGTGGAGCCAAGTTAAAGCCCAAGTCATCGTTGTTAAATTGTTGTAATTTACGTTTCTTAAATGAATAAGAGTCACTTAAATTTTCTGTTGAACAAACGGAGAAGAATACGATAATGTTATTAATTATGAAAATAATTCCAAGGAAATTCATGGAAATCACATTAAATTAATCAATGGAAACATTAATTAAAACCAAATCAATAAATCCACCAAAAAATGGCTTTTAAAAAACAAAAACAAAACAATCCAAAATGGAAACACAAAGTGGCACAGAGTCGAGAGAAGAGTTCACTTTAATGAAATTTTATCCATTCAATTGAGGATACAATTAAAAGCAGTGAAGCAAAACAAAAAACAATGTTGATCAACAATTAATAATGTTAATAAGTTAATCTTGCATCGAAATGGTTAACACACAATTCAACTTTAACATTGCGATTCACCATTTTCATTGAAAGTGATATCAAAATGGTAAAAGGTTGCATCCAAATGAGTGAAAAACCTGATCAACCTCATCATCTTTTACTCTCTTTACTCACTCATCTCACTCTCCTACTCAAAGTTGAAAACCAAAAGAAAGGCGTTCTAACGTTTTTAGGCCCACTTTTTTTGTATCTTCAAACTTTTGCCAACTTGAACATTGGACCAAAATTACAGTCGATCATGAAACAAATGCAGCAAAAACATTGACATATTGGGTTAACAGGCCTTTTCACCAGATATTTAATTTCATACGATAATGATGATACTTGATGATACTTGTTGACCAATAATTTAAGCATAAAAAGAGTGAAGAAAAAAAATGAAACTGGAAAAATTGAAAACAAATAACAACCAACAAACAAAAAGACCAACAATACAAACAGCCAATTTTGTGACTAAATTTAGTTTAAACCTCTATCTACATAATATATTACACTTTTGGATATCTAATAGTTATCAATATTTAACGGTAAAACCTCATTTTGACCTGATATTGACCAGTATTAGAACCTAATCTTAGCCATTTCTTAATCTTGAACATTTCTTGCGCTATTTTAGGTCAATCATCATCTTGTCCTTTTCCCGTTCATCTTTAAATTTACCGTAAACTATCATTACCTTCATATCTTGATCAAACAATATTAAATGTTTGTCTCAATTTTTCATCAGCAACAACAAAATGAAACTTTCATCGTCTGAAAATTGAAATCCCATGAAAAGATTATCCAATGTGAAATGGACAGCATTCACAATGAAAAAGAGGTAAATAATGAATACGATTCATTCAAGTATCAAGTATAATCAACAGTCTTCAAGTGAAAATACGTATTATTAAATTAAGATTGAGATTAAATTCAACATCTCACAGCATCTGATTATGAAGGCAACAATTTACTGATTCACTTATAAATACATTGAAAATGGCATTTAGTAAAAACTGTTCACATAAAGCATTTTGTGTTAAACAATAACCTTAATCGTGATTAAATTGTACTGAAATGGTTGAATAAGAAAAGACAAATTGATAACAATTTATCAAAGGCAATCAATAATCATATAATTATCATCAAGTAGTCTCTCTAATCCTGAATCAGTTTCATTTCAATTTAAAATTAAACTCTTCTCCTACAATTTGAAATTCATGAAAAATTAGAAACATTTGGTTTCCCTTGAAGATGATTATGATTAAAAAATATAAATACTAATTTGTTGTCACGATAAGGTTGATTATGAGACAAAATATGAACATAAAGCACTGGAAAATTGTTAGGCAACAATTTAAATTGTAACCAGTTCCGCATCAATGTACAGTCACAACAACAAATCATAATTGCAATGATAATTGTAATCATAATTGTTATGGGATCGGTAATAGAAAATAAGCCGAATCTTAAATCATCTTCTTATTTCTTTAACTGGTTGGTTGATTATTTTATGACATAGAAGCATCATCATTCTTCCTTAACCATCAACATCATTATCAAAAATCAAGAGTAGAAAATTTGTACTTCTTCTTAATTTAGTTAATTTTTACGGTAATCACAATCCCAAGTAACTTACCTTTTACTGTTACTGTTTCAACGTTATCGTTAAAAAAATGATAATTTGATATTTTGATACAAAAAAAATGCAACTTATTTTTCACTAAATAGCTATCTGAAATTTAATGTTAGTGATGATCATTATTGGGATTATGTTGATGTTGAAGTTTCCGTTGATGATGTTGCTGATGATACGTTTTCACCCATCACTAGAGCCATTCTTTTCCCTCGCCATTTTACCCTTTTACCTTATACTTACGCACTATTATCAAACTAATTGTTATTCCCTTCAAATTTTATCGTCTCTAATCGTTTTAAATCAGCTTATTTAACCTTGCAAATCGTCTAAAAATGACTTTAAATACGACGGTAAAGAACGGCAAAAATACATCTTTTTTAACCCTCAAAAAATTAAATGCAACAACCAAGAGAAGTGAAAGATTTTTCAATGTCTTTTATGAACAGGCTCACAATTGTAGCAATTGCTTGAAGGTTCCATACAATTCCAGGTTAAAATAACATTAGTTTGGGTTATAATTTTTCATTAACCACAATAATAACAATGAATAAAATGTAATCTAATAGTTCCGGTTAATTTTGTTCCTAATAGTAACAAAATAAAAATGATATTGCAATATCCATTAGCCATAAAGTTCAAGTTTAAAGATGATTTAGCTTAAGTAACCATTGCTGAGCCAGTTTAAAGGACGAAACAATTCTAATTAAACATAATCTAAACTAAATAATCTAGATATTAAGCATAATTTAACACAAAAATAAAACTAATAACAATCCAACAACAGTTACTTCCTAGGATCAAAACGTTAAGATCCAAGTCTATGTATCAACCAATATCTGATACAAAGAGCAAATTTTGGCTCCAATTTCAAATTTTGATGAAATAACAGTTAAAAGCTCAAGTAATGAGGCTAAAATTTAAGGTTGACCAATTGATTGTAGCTCTAATTGTAGTCTTAATTGGCAGTCAGGATTTGATTGAGACGTTGAAATGAACTCTTTCATAGAGTGATATTATAAACAATGAAACAAAGAGTTGAATCAAAAAAATGTGTTACAGTAATAGCGAAATGTAATTAATATGTTGATACTATTGATTGTTATATTAATCATAGCTTTTTTTGTCTGTAAATTACTGGTTTTAATGTAGCTTGGTTGAAGGTTATTGTTGTTAACAACAACAATTACATGATTATGATTATATATCATCATTAAAGTGTGATCCAGTTGACAGAACAATTTAAAATGAAATGTTGATGAGCCAAGATTATTTGGTTCATCGGATTGACTCTGTTATTATTGATTTGCTTGTGCAGCTCAATTAATTAAGAGTTACATTTTCACTGTAATAATAATGATCAAGTCTTAATGTAAAAAAAGAGGAATGAAAATCAAAAAATTATTTAGTAACACACATTTAATTGTAAACCCTTTGATTGAATTGGAAGCAGAAAAATGAAGACAAATTTTGCCTGCTTTTCAACTTCACAATTAACCTTCAAATGTATTTAGTTATGTATCAAACTATTTCATTGCTGTTAACCTGAATATAATTATAATGATTACCAATAAAATCACGTTAATATACTTAGAATATTGATCATTATCATGATAATCATCGATTGATTGAGCAAAAGAAGCGGATGAAATTAATTTGAGTTCATTGTTGCCATCATTTTGTTGGTTTCATGACTAAATTTAATTTCCAACTCATCGCTATTTTTAACAGTGTTGTCATTATTATTGACCTGAGTAAATTGCCTCTGAATTGATAATGAAAAAGGAATCAAATTAATTCAATTGATTGGTTTTAATACAAAAATGACAAAAAGAAGTAAAAATTGAAAAAGGCGCTGAAGTAACTGGTTAGTGTAACAATGGTAACGGTAATGACAACGGTAATGGTGAAAGCAACAGGTTCAAGTTGGATTTTTGTAAATTACAATTTGACTTATTATTTGTGTTTTGTATAATTTAAAAGATGATTTAGTCACTTGTTTGGCGACAGTTAATCAGTGAAAGTGTCTCAGCTATGAATTGGTAAAGTAAATGAAGAAAAAAATATGCCAACCATGAGTGTTATGAAAGTGACGCTCACACACATTAAATAATCATCACCCAACAGTATATTAAGACAGGGATTACCAATTGTTGATGATGATTATTACACTCACACACTTTGATTCATCACTTTTTTATCACCATTAAAGGTAACTCATCATTATCATCATTTCCATCATCAATTATAACAGTAACAAAACTACATGTTCATAATCATCTTGAGATCATTTCATTTCCTTCAACTTGGTCGCCTACGAAATGACAATGATTTTATTACAATTGTTCACTTGATTTGGTAACATTTTTTTTGTACAAGGATAAGGTTTACCTAAATATAATATGTAATAATACGATGGTTACCAGAATTTAAATTTGGTCCAACACTCGGTAGTCATGAAAATTACTTGATATGGTGAAACAAATTGGTAATGTTCAATTCTGCCACTTGTTGACCCTGATCTAAATCTAATGGTAAATCCAATTTTAGATGAAATTATTCAATAAAGTAACTATTGGTATTGTTATTGGTATTAATATAGCAAAGAAAAGTTGATTGATTTTGAAGCAAAGCAAACCTTAATTTAAAAGGTTCATTATTTGATACTAATAATAATAAGAAAATACAAATGTGGTTTACAGGTAAGAAAGTAATTAAAGGTTTGATCATTTCAATTGTCCAGTTAACAATGCTGTTTAATTTTATTAATGTGTGTAACCTTTCACTTTCACTTGGATTATTGTTATTAATATTTAATTTGGCAGGTTTGATAATGAAAGGCGTTGGGTGTGTTTCAGTTTCAAATTCAAGCCTAACTGTGAATCAACATTTGAAATTAATAATCATTTCAGTGAAGGTTAACAATTTATTATTATCATGTATACATCATCATCATCAGTCTTATTGTTATGATTCAGATGATAAAAAAGGTAAGGAAGCAAATCAATGTCTTTAAAGCGTTAAATGGTTTAAACGGGTTAAAGATGATTAGAATGATTCTCTTAATGTAAATATAATCAACCTGATTAAACCTTTTGATTATTTAAAATAGCCTTGGACATTGGGTTACAAGTAAAATCTCTTCATGAGTCAGTTAAAGAGGTTTGATGGTTAAAGAAACGGTGAAATATCATTAACATTGATTTTTAGTGTTTTTTAAGGTTAAACTGGGCTTTCTCTTAAATTGGTTTACATTCAAATTAAATTGTCACCATTTGAAGCCATTATAATCATTCAATTAGAAAGTAATTGATCATCTTGTAAAACATCAGCCTTGAATTTAGTTAACAACAATTTGATGATTTAGGATGATTAGATGAGTAAAATTAAGTAATAACAGATTACGGGTAAAAAGGTAGCAATAATGACTTGAGATGCAAAAAAGATCAAATTAAATCAGTATAATTGTAACAATAATAGCAAATATAATATTATAATTGTTGAGTCTTGTTATATATTTATATATTTTTTTTATTGCTACACATTTGATTATAACTACCATAACAGTTAACAATGATTGAGAGTCATTCAATTGTCAAAGTAAACAAGAGTATGATGAAGATGTATAAATTGAGACAATTATTTACAATAGCTAAGAGTGAGATTTAGATTGTCAATTTGATCTTTTTTTTGGCATCCTATTCAAATCATGTTTAATGATAATGGCAACCATAATTGTGATAAAATGCCTATTAAGGTCAAAACAGTGGTTCGCAAACAGTGGAAATTTGAATTAAGACAAAATTTAGGACACTTACTTTACTCGTCTATTTACTGGACACAAAAACACACATAAAAGCTGACCAGGGTTCAGTTAATGTAATATATGCTTTAAGTGTAGAAAAGTTTATCACTCTGTTTTTCCCAGTCTTTTTGTTTCCCTTTCTCTTAATTTTTTTTCTGGTTAACTGTTTTACCGTTAATTCTGAGTCTCTTGAATTGCTCACTTTTCTCATCTTTAAGATAATCACGATTATCCGATTAACCAAGAAAATTTAGCAAACAATATTTAAATCTAAACACAATGTTGATGATCCTCACCAACACCATCATCATCATCTTTATCATGGGAATTGTGACTTTTCTTGGCCTTAATTTCATTAGCCCGTGATAATGTTGATCTTTGTCAAGCTTGTAAATAATGAAATGTACGCTTTGTAAATGATGATAATCTGCTATCCGGCAATCAGGTAATAATTAATCTATCTTTATGTTGAACAAAAATATTAATCAACTTGGTAAGATTGATTATTGATGGAAAAACTGTTACACATTGATGTTGAATTGAATTTTGGATGAAGATATTAAGTTTCTTCCAAGAGTGTAGATGATGAAAACTTTGATCCATTTGATGACTTGTTTTCTGGTTCCTTCAGTGTAAGTAAATTGATATTGTCATGTTAAAACATGTAAAGATGCTGCTGAGGGTTGTTCTTGTTTCGGTTCAACTTGATTGTTATGAGGTTAATAAACTAATTGTCTTCAAATTTCTGGCGCAAAAAAATATATTAATATTTAGGTGATAATTGCCAAAGAAGACAATTCAGCACGCCTCTCATCACTATTCACCAATCATGATTATAATCAGTTTCAAAGGATATTTAACGTTTCAATAGAACCTTAGCTTCTCATCATCATCACCATCATACTAATCATCGTTTCTTTCCCAATCAATCAATCAAATTTTACTAATCTTATAACAAGAACAAAAAAATAAAAACAAGGAACAATCAACAAACCTTAACATGTTTAAATTAATTTACAAAACGAGTTGACAACATAATGGTAAAGATGGCAAAGATTAATATTGACAAAAAACTAAACAAAAAGCAACTTGAATTTATTGAAAACACATACAAGTACATGAAACCTTTTACAGATTGTAGCCCATTACAAAAGATGAGTCGGAGTACTTAATCATAAAGTGACTCCATCAGATATGTTGCAGATGAGTTTCCCTTTGAACTCATCATGGTTACATATCGGGATATGGCTTAGGCGGCCATTTACAATAATTGGGTGAACGGGAATGGGGTAAGGGAGGACAATAATTGTTGGGTGGGGAAATGGGCTTTTACAAAAAATAAGGTTTCAGGGGAAAGGTGTATAAATGTGTTTTAGCAATAATTAAATGATTAGAGATATTTCTTTGAATATTCTAGCTGTTGTGTTTATTTCATCTAGTGATTTTTTTATTTTCTCGGTTGAGACTGAATTGTCTCATTGAAATAGAATTGAATTGATTTTGATTTGTTTGAGAAAGATTTGATTTACGATTTTTGGTTTTTGATTTTGATTTCATTATTAATTTAGTCACTGTTAATAATTGTTGAATGTTGGTTGTCCCTTTCACTATTGACTTACCCTATTAATGATTGATTTTTTTTGGAGGTCGTTTGGGTCATCTAGTGAACATGAATTGGTGATCACTCACCTCAGTTTTCAATTATGGGTTGTAATCAGTAGTACTAAATTGTAATTATTTGCACTTTAAGAAATATAATATTACTTCTAGTCAAAATAATTGTTTCACACTGTTTGTAATATTAATTCACTGAAGTAAGTGAATTGACAAGGAAGAGAAAGAAATGGTGAAAATTAGAAATAACAGTTAACTTGATCAAATAGTGAATAATTAAGATAAACAGGTAAATGAGGTATAAACAGTAGGTTTAATCAATTAATTGTTAATTTATTCACCAGAAAAAAAAAGATTGAAAATTTGAAGCAAGAGTAAAAATATGCAAAACCGGTAACTGAAAACCTAAAAACGGTTAATTTTAGTTAAGAAAAATCGTTAACCCAAAGGAGTAGCCATAACAACCATTTACCAATAAAAATTATCTAAAATATAAATATCCAGATTTAACCCAATCACATCAATTTATAATTAACGGTCGGTTACTTGGCAACAACCAGACCATTGTTTTTGGTTAAACTGGTTTTTTAGACTAATGTCCAACTATTTATTTTATTACAATCATGTTTAATCCAAGTTTAACCCTGGAATTGATCCAAATTAAAAAGGTAAGAATTAACAATTGATGAACATTTTCCCCTTCTCTTAATCTCTTTCTTTTCCTATTTTTCTGTCTGTCTGTTTCTTTCTCTCTCTCTCTAATTTCCTTGTTAAATAGTTTCAGGGTCAATCAAAAATCTGTTAACATCAACTTTAACCTAAATTGTTAACAGTAACACAATAAAATTACAGTATAAGTATACCTGTTACAAGACGTTTAAAGTTAAACAATCAATGTTAATTATTAGCTGAAAGTAAAGCAAACAGACAAACAAGTGTACAAAAAAAGCGATACCAACTAATGAACCACAAAATGATATTCAACTGTATTTATACAACTTTACAACAATATTTATCCCAATCCCAATCCTGAAGATAAATTTACAATTAGAAATGAAAACAAAATGAACTGATTGTAACAATAAGAGATGAAGAGTTATTGTTTAACTTGCTTTACATCCATTACCAACTGTATAAATAACAATCTTATTACCGATACATCTACTTTACATCGTCGATTGATATTGACGTTGAATTGTTGTAAATTAAATGTTCAAACTTTTACAGATTGAGGTTATTGTTCACAATTTATCAGGTAATAATAATAATAGTAAACAGTTAACATAATAATAAGCTCAACTGTGAACCCTTATATAATACATGTACTGATATTGATATGTATTTATATCGTCAACATGATTTGAATCATTTCGTTTTTTTAGCCAAACAAAAAAAACCTATTGATTGTATAATTCAGTTATTGACATGTATTCAAAGGTTAATGTTAACTGTTAGACTGCAATTGAAAATTTTGACCCTATCTTGAGCCAATTTAATCAATTTTACCTTCTCTAATAATCAAAAAAGTCAGTTATTATTATTTTTACAATACCAGGTAAAAAATGGCTCAGACATTGAAATATCACTGAATGTTTCAAAAGTGGAAGACACACAAACAGGTAAATCATGAATCAACTCTAGACAGATTAATCGTCTCGATTACAATTATGTTTGGCCCTTTTTTACTGCTTTACCCAATAATATTGACTCAATATTATACACTTTTCAAGGTAAACCAGAAATTGGGTAATTTTAATTAATCCCAAAGTAATAAATAACAAGTTTACCTCTTAAAATCTCACCCTTTACTTTGATTAGGAATAAATTGTTGCCATTTTAAAACTCTAAGTGTGTTGAGAGTAATCATTATTCAACAATTTGCCTTTCATTTCATTTTCAAGATGCTAATCAATTGATTAACCAAAGACTAGTTAAAGATTGATTAATCAGAGAATGGCAGAGTTTACTTAACTGTCAATTGTCACTAATCATTATTCACATGCAGTCTAATTAATATTAATTTTTTACTTGGCAAGAAAAGGTTCATTTAATAAGCTCGTTTTTTTTCAGGCTAAACACAAATTTAAAAAGATTGACCTGAGAAGCCAAAGCTGAAACTGAAGATGATGATGAAAGTCACGGGATGAAAGACCAGTTTCATTGAGAAAACCGGTGATCATCTCTTTCTTTTTCCTCTTTTTTCTCATCTTCATCATTCTTAAGATACTCAGGTATTTAGGTCATCTTGCTGAGTAAAATAAACACCAATCCAAAAGTGGAAGGTGCTAAAGCATCATCAGAATGGAAGAAGAAGAAGAAAAGATGAAAATGATTTAGAGATGAAAGTAAAGAATCTTTTGTTCCTCAGTAAACAGATAAAATAAACAAATCAATAATAATGATAATAGTAATGATAATATTAAAAGGAAGACAATAGTCTCTCAATAATATTGTATTCACATCTCATCTTTGAGATATTGATTGTTCAACTGATTAGTTTAACAGATTATCGACAACAATAACACCAAATTGTAATAACAGTTAACCCAATGATTTAATTTAACTTTTCCCTTCAATCCATCACAACAAACAAAATCAGTGATTACATGTTAATTTGTTGAATGATAAATAGCTGATTAAATATTCAGTTGAAAAAAAGTGTGTAAAGTCAATGTCCGACGATTAACTCATTTCCCTGCAAGTTATCAATTTTATTCAACCGATTCGTTGATATTATCATTTTTTGTGTTCAAATAGTCAACAAATAATCACTCATTAATAAGGCCAATCTGTTGATTTGCCATCTCGTCTATTATACGCTTCAATTTTGCATTGCAAAGCAAATCGACACTTTTAGATTGTCGTAGCTGAATAATTTTCCCAATAATCATCATGTTAATCTGATTTGATTACAAACTGTTAGACAAACAATGAGATTGGTCGACTTGTTGCTTTAATGGATTGCAAAAAAACTGTTCAAATATCTGTTATTAATAGCTTGACGAAAGTTGTCAAATGTAAAGATTAATGATTACATTTTCATTTGATTAACTATTAACAGTTATTATTATGATCATCATCGATTGCACCTTAAAGATAAATTGTAATGGACTTTTTGTTTCTCTAAATTTTTCAACAATAAAGTTGATCAATTATTGGAACGTTATAATAATAAAAAGGTAATATCAAGAAATGGTAATAATGATGAAACTGTTTAGCTAATAATAGTTTTGATAATATGGGCACAGTTATTATTATTATCTGGATTCAAGTATCATGGAATGAAGAAAATGAAGAAAAGAAATGAAATAATATTCAAGTATTGATTGTTCATTTGCTGCTCCTATTGCAAGTAAAATTTGATTAAATGACAAGGTTAATAGAGTAAACTTGATTGTTTAACATGAAAGGTCAATTAAGTAGCCTTGATTGAAAACTCGTTCAAGTCTATGTTTATATGTTTCCAGGTTTGTAAATGTAAAACAACAACAACAGTAAATTTATCACTAAAATTTTGCTTTTTTTTCTTCCTTACAGTTCTTGCTTTGACCGGAACCCAATTTACCAAACCGGACTTTAAAATATTTAAAAAGGCCACCAGGATTTGAACATCTTTAAAGCTCTCTCTCTCTCTTCTGGTCATCCTCATCTTGATCCACATCCTCATCATTTTTGCGTGTTTTAACTACACAACTTGAAAATAAAATTACAAATCCCCTGAAGGAACAACTATTTTTGCAAATACAAGTTGAAATTAAAGGTAAGCTGATTCAATGGAAAAAGGTAAAAGGATTTTGTTTGGATCAACTTTTTAATTTGATTCATCATCTTCATTATCATCATTTACCGGTTTATATTAGCACAATTAGTATGCTAATTGAAGTAATCTCATAGTTTTTGATGAAGGCTTAAGAAAAATTGGAACATTATGATTCAATTGGTTTCATTCATCTTTCAATTAATTGTCTTGAAGATGGTAAAATTGATCATTTTGATTGTCGATGCATTACTGGATCAATGATACGGTGATATTGAAAATTGGTTAAACAATTATCAGTCTTGCTCTCATTTTCAACTCAAATTGAAGTGTCAATGCTTTGTTTTCATTTATAATTGTCTTATTAACATTAAACTTGTCTGTTAAAATTTTTAATTGTGATTTAAGTAAAAAAAACTAACTCTTTCTCTCTCTTTCTTAATTGCAGTTGGCGAAATGGTGGATTAAATGATCGCTCAATTTCAAGCCTGAACCTTCATTGTTTTGAAAGTCAAGTTAACACACATTATCAATAAGGAACATTTGGAAATTTGATTTAACTGAAATCTCAAAACGCTGGATTAACAATTGAAATCTTACTGTTAACCCAGGCTTAACCGTGAGATTGGATGTTTCAAACCTTTTTCGTTGAGCGCGGGAAAAATGCGGTTTCCGGTTGACAACATTTTCAAATGTTTTCGCTGAACAATCTGTCTTTTGTTGGCTTATTAAATGTTTCACTAAACTCAGTTCAACTGAATTGTTGCAGTTTTAAACAGGAAATATACCTGAATTTGTAACAGAAGGAGAGTTAACAAGTTAAAGAGTCGCAAAGATGATGACAATGTTTTCCTATTAACTGGCCATTCAAAACGGACTGAGAGTTGACCTTAACTTGGTTTAGGCCATTCAAGTGTTGTACATTCTCTATGTTAGTATACAATTCATTAAATGTTTTACAATTGCTTCTTTTGTAGTTTCATTTGCGATGAGAAAAATTCTTTTTCACCATTTAATCATATTAACCTTTAATTATTTTAATTGTTTTACTTTAATCTTTCTTTCTTTCTTTTCTTTCCAATAGAATAAGATTTCTTTTTCTCGTTTAATGGTTGGAATAATCAAATTGGAGATTCTGCGAAATATCAATGATCCAAACTGTATGGCTTATTAAAGTTGATGGTAATAATATTGGACTTGTGTGATTGTTGAATGTTTAACAAACCATAGTGACCATTGAGCTGCAACTTGATCTAACCTTGGATTTACTTTTTTCTCAACCTTCTTCTCAGGAAAATCTTATTGTTGACCTGACACATTGTTGGCCTCATGAAACATGTAAAAACTTGACGATTGACTTGATGCAAAAGATTCTCATCATTATCATCCTCACAAGCTAATCTGAAAGAGATACAAGTCAACAAGAATCAAAACATATTGAGTGCACACATTAAACCATACGGTAAAGCTGAGCAAAATGGAAAAGCTTTTCAACTGTTACAGATTAATTATTGGTGCAATTTGATAATCCAAAATATGACAATCGCATTGGAAAGGAAGAAAACGAAATGCCGTGTAAAGTGATTTTAGGAAAATTTACTCTTCATTGGAAAACAATTGTTGATTTAGGATTATCACAATGTTCATTGGGATACATTGATGCTGTCAATTTAGAGACCAGAAAACTCAGAAGCCGCAAATTTTACAGATGAAACGCACGAAGACTTTTCTCAGCTCGTCTTTCCTATCAAATGAATTAATTTCCATTCAAATCAATTCTTGGCATTTTATTCACTTCCCTTGTGAGAAGAGATACAATTTCAAGCGGAAAGGCCGTGGGTAATATGGTTAAAGTTGAGCATTCAACGGAATCGGAACAAGCAGGCAAATAATCAATATGAGCAATAAATTGTTCAATCCAATCTCTATTCAAGTTCATATTTTACTTTATTACCAATTTATTATGTAAATTGATTGGCTGCCTTTCATAGGTGTGTGAATCTGGTTTACTTGGCAAGTGAAGGACAATTAAATCAACATTAGATTTAATTTTAACCAAATTTCCTTCAACAATTTTTTCATCCAATCAACTATTTTACTAATCAATCAATTGAATAATCAATCACAATGAGTAACAACAAATCGACCCAGTGAACAAATACAAATAATGTGAGAGTCAATAAGTAAGAAAATAAAGATTTATTTCTTCAAATTTGTTATTGTAACACTAAATCGAAGACAATTGAATGGTAAATGTTGAAAATCACAGTTCCGATTACAATTGTACGCAAATTTAAATTGATTTGTGATTGATTATTATTGTTGCCAACAAAAGTTGAGCCTTTACTTGATGGGACAACAATTTTTATTACAATACCCGAATCAAATAACGGAACTCAACTTGATAAGACAGATTTATCAAATTTGAATTTAAATTCATGTTAAGGGGAAACATTAAAAATTGTAAGGCTAACTGTCCTTTTCATTGAGCTAATACAATAACAAACTTTTTACCAACCTTTTATTTGTCTCTATTTATTTTAATCACAATCAGTTTCGATAGTAATCAAATTTGGTCATGTTAATCAGGAAAAAACAAATGATTGCCTTCTGTTCACCTTTATATTCCGGTTAATGGACAAAGTTGTATTAATAAATTAATCTCACCAATTTTTGCATTGTCTGATAATTACAATTGCAAACCTTAATAGTTAATCCTTATTTATCCTAATTACATAATGATAAAGTGGTTAGCAAATGTTGACAGGTTAAACTGTTATTGTTAAAAGACAAGAAATATCAAGCGGATTGTTCAAACCATCAACTAATGATAAAATATATCAAAAATCGAAAGGAAAGTCTTTCCTACAAATCATAATAATAATAATTATCATTCCATAATAATGATAAAGATGTTATACTTGATAAACAAAAGGCCAAAAGGTGAAAAAACAAAGAAATGGTCGTCAAATATTAGATTAGAACATTTGATCAAATTCAAATGATAGGGTTGAGAAAAAAGTAATATAAATTAGATTCTGCAAATTACGATGACAGCTTTACGAAGTTACAAAGGTGAGACAAAATTCAACCCAAATTTAACCCGAATTTAACCGTATTTTTTGGTGTTTCCTTCAATAGAATGGATCGCATCGACCAGCTTCCACTTGCCAGATATCAGATCGATTTACAATTTTGTTTCAACCAAATTGATTAGTCCTGATTCTTTTTTGGTGATTATAAGACAAGAGACCATGAGGGTATCATCATGGATTAATATCCAAATAATTTACATACACAAACAGGAATCCGATTCATATAAATTGAGCAATTATAAAAAACCATCATCTGAATAACTTTTAACATCCAAACTGCATAATTGTAACCATTTATTTTAAGTGTATCAAAATTGACCGATATTTTTTGTACTAAACTGTCACTGTATCCAAGGCACTGGATGAAAGCATAATTTTGGATGTTATCGTTCATATACCAATGGAATGACCATCAAGAGCTATTAAGAAAAGAGTGTATTCACCAAGAAAAACTGTCCTCAAGTCTGGGCCAGGCAAAATACGAAACAATATTTTCAGCCATTTAATTTGAACACTGGATTGAAACTTTATGATATAGACACTTGAAATTTTAACTAATATTTGAAACCAACATCAACTTGTAAATTGCGAATAAAAAACAATTAAAAACGTATTTATAAATAGCATATTGATTGAGAAAATATTTTATGATAAATGGAGGGAAATCAAATTGTTATTGCTGTTGCCAACGAAAGAGTTGCCAACCAATAGTGAAGAGGCGCGTTTTATGAATAGTAGAATAATGTTCAAAAATAAATGTAATCCAATATTATAAATGAGTATTGTTGACAATCAATAATGTAAATTTAAATAAAAGAATAAAAGAGAATATAAAATCTATACAATGAAAACTTCCTATTGATTTGAGAAACAAGTTGACAGCACTTTTAATCTTAAATAGTATCGCACTTTTGGGACACAAGAAAAATGAAGTTGACCTAAATTGCGAAGTAAATGCTGTTGTTTTTGAGTGAAACAGCGTACAATCAAACAAACAGACGGTTATTAAATTAAATTTACGGAAGGAACCGTGAGAATAATAAACAATCAACAAATCATGATTGTAAATTGATCAACAGAAGTCTTTGTGAAAAGACAATATTTGATGAAAGATGAAATTCAATGAAAAAGGTTGCTTGTTCAAAGAGCCTCCAATCACTCGATATTGATACAACTTTAGATTGGAACCAAAAATGAGCCTAATTAAAGGTAGGCCTGAAAAGGTAAAACACACAGAGAAAGGATGAGAGAAAGAGAAAGAAAGAAGACAACTTTTGTTCCAAAAAATTGAAAAACTCAATTTGCCTGGTTAATGTTTTCTGGTTTATCTGGTTCAATGGATAACCGATAACGTACATTTTCAACCTGACTTGGTTCATCTTCAAAATGTTTAACTTTTTAAATAGTCTTGAAAATAAGCTGCAATACTGACCAGTCAATGTTATTTATAAACGCTTCCCTAATTGTAGGTCAACAGTCCAAGTATTTCAATTGGTAACTTTATTATTAGTTTATTATTGGAAATACCGGTAACATCGTTACGTTTCATTGAATTGACATTGGAATCGGAACAGAAAGGAGAAATTTGTTCCAGAAAAATAAATGTTTACCTAAATGTTGATATCACTTGAGCATCTTTTGAGAGTAAAACATTTCAAAACAAATTCATTGAAATTCATGGCGAAACTTATTGAAAAACAATCTCAAAAGTAAATTGAATTGTTCAGCAAAAGCAAGCAATGAAAAAGTCCATCAAAACTCAGACTAAACTCTGAAAATCAAAGACTTGAAATGTACTTGAAAAAAAGCCAAATTTACAAACAATAAACGACAAAATTCAAATTTCTGAAATTCTAAGATTTCAAAATTTCTTTACGATTTTCGTCCATTTCTGCTGAAAATAATGTCTTCTGAAACAAACGATATAACCAAAAAGTGTTGAGTCTATTTGAGCATTCAAATTGATCGCTTTAAAACTGTTAAGCGTTGAAACAATCTAACAAGTTTAAGAGCACTTCTTACAAAGGTTGAAGCTATTTGCTAAAACTGGACAATCTATTAATAAACTGTACAAAGTTAACAAATTAACCTTTTACCGTGAAAAGGAAATTTGCAATTTAAAAATGTCTAAAAATTTCAATTGTTACAAGTGCAGTTGAGCCATTAAAAGTGTCGTTACCAACAAATGAATTTCATGATCATAAATTACTTTTTTTCTGGTACTTCTTTTTGACACTCACTTTTAATATGAAAACTGAAAACGAGGTAATGTTCAACACGATTAGTTAATAGACTGTCAACACCAACAATTGAAAGCAACATAACGACTCTAAACTGACCTGATGACCATCTTACCATTTACCAGAAAAAGTCAACCCAAACTCTTGCTTTCAACAAAAGCAAACTCTTGAAATAATATCTTTTCAAAGGCTTTCTAATAATAATTTGAAGATGAAAAGGGAAAAATGATGAAAATTTATTGGAATCTATCATTTTAATTGTCACTTAATTGTTCAAGTTAACTTTTGTCAAAGAGCAATCAGTCACGATAATTAAGTATTTTTAGCAATCAGTTTAACGACGAAAGATTAACGCTAAAAAAAGGTCAAAAAAGCCGCAAGGTTTGCGTCCAAGCATTTGAATAAAGAAAAGCATTAAGGTAAATCAAACAAGTTAAGTGTTTATTGCTGACGATTAAAAACATTTGCTAAATCAACAGTCGCTGTTGGTGCAAAAATCAATCTTAAAATAGTAATACAATTGCAATTGAAATTACATCTCAACAAATTTAAATTGTAAACTCACAATTGAACAATACATTTTTACAAAGCAAATGATTGATTCATAATTTAAAGCATCGACTGTTGTCATCAATATATTGTTGAATGAATGTTTTTGTTAACCATTAATGTCTACCAATTATTCAGTTGAACAAGTTGATGGATTCATCGTTTGGTGAAATTTTGTCAAACATCAATTTTTGTCAATGTTAATCACAACTGGTTAAGTGAAAGTAAATTAATTTGGTTGCAATCAAGTGAACCAAATCAAAATGTGCAACAAGGAACACAAAAAGTTGGAGCAAAAAAAAAGTTTAATCAAAATGTTGATCGATCGATGACCGATTAATTAATTGAGATCGTCTCTTACTGTCGATTGAAATGATAAACAAAAGGATAGAGAAATGATTAAAGCTAAATATACATTGAAAAATGGTTGTTAAAGAGGAGTGACAATTCCCAAACCAAACAGCAACAATATTAATTTGGTGAAAGTTAATTAACATTTTCCACTAAATTGATTGCTTTTAATCAATTGCCTAAAAGTTTTTTATCAACCAAAAATTGCCTCAACTTGCAATTTATTTTTAATTTTGTGAAACTCATTAAGAAGAAGGAAAAGCTAAAAAAAGCGATTCCCGAATCAAGACGATGATGGACATGAAAATGATTAAACAATTTACGTTGATTTGGCATTACGCTGTAACCAATTGACAATCATAATCATAATGATCATCGTAATACAGTGCGTGAGATACAACAACAAGCTTACGATGAAATCGCAATCAAACCAAAGATCGTGGTTAGGCTTTTGCCTTAAGTCAATCCATCTATTAATAAGGCAACAATTTACGTGATTAAAGGCTAACACAAGTAAACATTTCCTGTGCAAAGAGTCAAGCCTTTAGGTTGTTAGTGAAGAGACTTGCCAAGTCAATCACCGATAAAGACTTTTAGACAAATGTGAAAGTTACAATAATGAAAGTTATCATGACAATACTGAACATTATAATAGTGAAAAGTACAATTTGGTCAGAATTTGTTTTTAATGGTTTCCATTTGAAATTGCGTGGGATAGCGAGTCATTTAGAAAGCTTATTAACGGCATTATTAGCGTTGATAAACACTTTTGAAAAGGACATTTTTGTGTTCACTTTTTTTGTTCATTACAACATGAACATTTGATGTTTCCAGATTTTTGTGTTTTTTCATGGCTGGGCTTGTCAATGAAAGGAAAAAGGAAACTTTGATGAATTTTTAATGAACACTCAGATTTCTTTCGAAAATTATAAAAATCTTTTTTTATCCCTTTTCATTATTTCAATTTAAAAGTTAAATTGTTGAAATAATTCAATAAAATGGTCAACTCGGTCAATCTTGAACAGTCTCATCAAGTTGTAATACAAACTGAAAGCGCATCACGAGTGAAAACATTAATGCAAACTAAGAAGATTACATTTAATGTATTAACATTAAATATTATTAATTTGCTAATCACATAGATTAACAATGCTAAAGGTAAATATGCGCCTAAATTGGTGCATAAATTAAAGGTAAGCCAAAAACGGGTGAAAAGAACGCGAAAAACTGATGAACTCGACCAAAATGCAAATGTTGATTAACATTTGAGATTAACATTTAT